GCTGTTTTTAATTCCATTTTTCTCAGTTATATTAACTAATCACACATTTTTTTTCTCAAATATTCTATATTCTCCTAACTGTTGTTTATTATAGTAATGATGATTTCAACAGAACTGGCAAAAATTTGTTGTCTGAATCAATCGTTTCGGAGATGAATCATGGTTATAAAAGTGATAGTGAAGTGCATCATCACAGCAGTCGTAAATCATCACCATCCTCCTCCTCCTCCTCCTCCACTAAATTCACATTTTCATCTCCATTCAGCAATGAAGTAAAATTTGCATTTCCTAACTTAACCAAACGTTCAACTTCATTGTCTGACTTATTTGATAATCAATGTATACAATTGAAAACGTCTCTTTTATCCAATTCTTTTGTATCTGAAAAAAATGTTTCACATTACAATTTCTTTTTATCATCAACCTTTTCTAGTTCTTCTTCTTCCTCTTCTTCTTGTTCAATTGATCAAGAAAATGATAATATTATAACAGATCATAGTATTTCACGAATAATTGAAAAATTCCGTACACCTAAAACACTGAAAGATCGTTTAGGTATTGTAAATTTTTTTTAGAAAAAAATTTTTTTTAATTTCAACAAGCTATTTTTATTGAGATGGTAATTTTTTTTATTCTTATTCACCATTTTCGCTTTATTCCATGCTTGTTTTCACGCACATTACATTGAAACCCGGTAATTTTGTTAACTTTTTCATATACCTATAATCACTTTGTGCCTTCAAAAATATCCATTCTTATATATTGTACTCTTTATTTTCCTTTGTTGTAATTATTATATTTTATTACTGTAATGTCAAAAATGTATTTCACTGAGATGATTTAGAAAATTTATTTAAATTAAACAGATTTTATTACCCATACCATTTGCTCGTGTTTTCTGGTATTCATTTGAAATTTCTGCATTCTTTGTATAAATGTGTTGTTGATGATTGGTAACAAAAGAGAGCGCGTCTGTGTTTTCAATTATGATAATTCTTCCTACCGATACGCCTAAACTGCTTTTCTAGTCAGTTCCAGTAATCTTAACTACTTCTGTGTCAGTTTGAACGCTGGAGAAGAGGCACAAATTGTGAATAAACGTTTTTCTCCATGGTTAGTTTAGTTATACAGTCACACATGTTGGTGGGCTTTTGGAATGTATGAATAACCTGTTCGCTTATCAGAGAAAGGCATTCACTCCCTTATCAGAGCTTTGATAAAACAAATAAACTTTTAGAATTTAAATGATTCGAAAATATTTGTTTTCCGGGATTAGTTTTTCATATGTAGAACCAAACTTCTCTTGGAATGCTCTGTTTAAACAAAGTTGTTTTTAGCTGGAGTAATATTCTTCTCAACATGATCAATATCAGTAACAGACTGACTATTATACCAGTCTCTTTTATTTTCACGTGTCTGTTGTGAGAAAACTCAAACGGTTATTGATTCCGTCTTGTTTCATCAAACCAATCCAGATTAAATTGTAACTCAGTAGTATGAAAACTCAACTGATGACACAACAGTTTACTGTCTCAATAGACAATTCATGTACTAGCACTTATCGTCTTTGTATCATTATAACGCATTAACAGTACAGTAGAAAGATATAACTAATTCATCAACATTGATTTTATGTTCATTTATATTCTACACAGACAATGACTTCTGCAATCGGCAATTATTGGTTCCAACGAACTATCACTTTGAAAAAGCAATCACGGGGATGTCATTATGTTACAGATGAAATTAAAAAAGCTTTGCCAGAAATTGAAAAACTACAAATGGGTATTTTACATCTTTTTAGTAAGTACACTTTAGCTTATAAAATTATTTACAAAATTCAAGCACATTCATTTCGTCGTATTTGTGCTGATCATTTATTCGAAATATTTAAATATTTGTCATATATTTTTAGTTCGTTGATTTCAAGTTCTCGACTGTACTTCATTCCTTTACAAGTCTTGACTACTCCAGACACTTGATAGTTCACTTTTTCGTGAAAGTCTGCGTTAAGAATGAAAAAGTTTATTGAAAAAAAACACGTTAATAAAAATTGAGGGTGATTGGCCAATCAATGATTAGCAAGTCAAACAAGCAAACTTATAAAAACGGAGTCAGTCATTAGTATTTTAACCCCTGTAAAATAAAACAGTTTCTATCCATTACCCATATGCTTCTCCATTCAACTGTAGTCAACGCAAATGTGTAGCAGCCTTTTATTAAGACAAGTGGCAGAGAAGTACTCAAACTTCCCTAAGGCTCTTTAATCGAACACCATTAATAGAATCAGAGCCTATAGCGAACTCCATATGAATTGGTATCATGGGGCGGTTCCCATCACATCTTCCTACTTTCCCCATTTCTGTCTAGCTTTGTTATATATCTATCTATCTTTGCATATAACTCTTTTATCGTTTGACCTCCTACTTGTAGACTCACCTGTTGACTATGACTATTGAGATGACAACATCCCGTTTGATGAAGACTGGCTGAATTCAGTCTTCATTCACTGTTTATCTAAACCTAGTTACCGAGTTTCTAAATTATTGTATATTTTTGTTCCACGATTCCTTTATTCCTGAATCATATTGTCTGTGTTTATAACTGGTACATTAACTCTGATATTTGTTTCGATACTGTCATCTCACTGTGGTGTAGCAACTTATATCGATGCACACTTGTGTTGTTCTTTAATTTATTTATAACTAAGTGACCGATATCAAACCTTCAGACTACCGAATATTATTATGTGTTAGTATCAATACAATGTCAGTCTTCTTTACCTACAATCTTGGTGTGCTTAATGAGGGAATTTTTCGATAGATATTCACAATGTAGATGAAAAGCTTATTTTATGCAATTTACGGTAATCTAGGTTACACGCTAGATCACCTTCCCCATACACCGAATCTAGCCATTTGCAATGCCTTTTTATTTGCGAAAATCCTAAGTTCAAGGTGTGTTTGAACGAGATGCAGTCGATATTCCAAAATATTTAGAAAATTTCTTCGCGTATTTTTTTGGACAGATCATTTGTTTTGTTAATTTTAAAGTTGAAATTACTTCACTTAAACCGTAAACCACCAAACCTGAGATTTGAAGCTCATAGTTTGTTCATTCTCTTCATAAATTTCTTTTATTGACGTGCCAATTTTTAACTTTCATTATTTTTTTTTCTTTTTCTATTTCTAACAGTTCAGCATACATCAGCTACTCTGACAGTTAATGAAGTACGTTAACTTAGTATTATACAGTTTAGTTAATTGTTTTGTAGATATTATCTACTACCATTATATTTTTACATGATTTGAAACTAGTTTTTATCGCTTACTAATGGTGTCTAGAAAGATAATGAAGGCATCGCAACTACGTCATCCAGCTCAGAATACAAACCACCTTATAAATTTTCTTTCGGATCAATAAATATTCCCCTTCATCGCACTGGAATCTTTTTTCATTCAATAATGGGAAAAAATCTTCCAGTTGTTTATTTTCTTACACTTTAACTACTTCGATAACTGGTCTTTATTTATAAAAGTAGAATAGGCTACCTTTAAAGATGAAGTATAATGGAAAAAAAGGTGTGATATGATAGCAATTGTGCAGAAGTAGTTCAGTCATCATTGTCGCAGGACGAAGTATGTCGGTGTGAAATGTTACACCTTGCAAAGCCTAATAATTTGAGAAGTTCAATATGGACAACATTGTCAACCCCAATGGTTAACTGAACGTGAGTAAAGGAAACTGAAGAATGGCGAATCAGAAATTGTATTTAACCCACAATTTTTAGAAAAGAATATGGAGAATAAGGACAAGTGCAACCAGTTTGATACGATGCGCTATCTTTCTATGTCTAAAACCATTGATTACGAGTATTGTGCCACCTCTAGCTAGCAAGTCTTTACCTATTAACATGTCTCGATAGTCAATGACTTCATGGAATGCTTGCATGTATTGATCTTTCCGCCTTTAGCCTCTCTTGGAACTTATCTCTTTAATTGCGCGTTAGCGTAAGCATTAGTAGCTTGAGCAATGCATTATGTCCTAACCATCTCAGTATGTAAAGATATATAACCTCAGTTGTAAACTTTTCCCTTATTCAATACCCTAAACTAGGACTAAACAAAGATACAATTACTACTCATTATATCCTCTTTGTTAACAGATAAATATGTGGCGTAATTTGGCAAAAGTCAAGAAAACTTTTCATACTCGTGATTAGTTTTTGTTACTCCTATATGATTTTGAAATCGGTTTTCTTGAAACTCCAGTGTTCAAACATATCTAAATATTTTCAATTATTTCAGTATTTACAAACACCGTGAATGAAATTAGGCATGTTTATACTGTTAGCCTGTATAAATAAATGTTACTTTTAAAATTTTGCATCAACTTTCTTATTGATATTAACAGAGTTGGGATCCGTCTGTAAAGTAAGTTCCATTCAACATATTTTTCAAATATTCAATTACAATTTGTAGTGATCAATCTTTAATGAAATTGTAATTTTTTTTAGTATTATTAGTTGTATTGCACGAATGCACATATTCATAATCTTAACATTTCACTTATGTACATTTTAAAATGTTGATGCTTGTTAATTTATTTCTATCTACACTATTCTTTTGTCTACTTCCATAAATAAACTTATTTCGTCAATTTGTTATGAAGCCAACCCCCATGCTTCATTTATTCATCCTTAAAGTCTTTCCGTTTGTATTTGTGTACCTTAAAAAAGAAGTTCATCTAGCACAGTTCGTATTTGGCTTGTATCATCACCATTGCATAATGCGGGTAGTTTAGGTGTAGTAGTATACAATATTGATTAATAAGAACTTGTGTTTCACCGTCATCCTTATTCATAGGGTAAACAATGAACATCAAAGGTTTTACCTCGGATATATTAGCGGATACAAAATTAGACTAATTTTATTAAACAGAAGTGTGAAGTCAGCATTCTGAACTTTTTCTTTAAGTTGTATCTTCTGTGTTTTATGTAAAAAGATATTTTAATAAGTACGTGGCTCATTACTAGCCACCACTCAGATGACCTTTGAGTAACTAATATACAACAAGAATGAGAGACTTTCTACTCTAAGCTTGAACGGTGGCTCAGTGCTAATTTGCTGCACCGAAGTGGAAGAACAAATACTAATGACCTTCAGTTTGAGATTCGTTACTATATTTCAAACATTTCCTTTATATGTACACAAAACCAGACCACATCGCACCAATAAATCGAAATTAACAACTATACATGAGTGGCTGTCAGCAGCGAAGATCGCAAATAATAAACTGTCGACAAAGTCGGAACAGTAAATCATAGGAAAATAATTTTTGCGTTATAAGAAAGCTTATCATAAAAGGTATATATAAACAGTTGAAATACTAATTGTATGCATCAATAGTTCTTCACAAAGCTTTAGTCTTCATCTGGTTGTAACAGAATAAATTTGGCATCACATAAACTAACAGTTTGTAGGACTAAAAAAAATTAACCAATGGAAATTTACGCGAACGTATATTTTCTATAGATTGGATACTTCGTTAAGTGTAGTGAAGTTTTTGTTTCATTAAAGTGTTTGATTGTTTGATATGTCTTTTACTTGCGTAAATATAAATGTAAAAACTGGATTACATTAGAAGATTTCTATTGAAATGTAATTAAAACTTAAATATTTATTTTAAAGATAAAGACTAAAGAACAACTTTTTTAAGTTAAAGAAATGCTAGTGACAATATTGTCTGCCCAATCTATTGATAAACAAATACCCCACTTTCACATTTTACTTCGTTTAAACATCTATGCATTAGTATAAAGGGGCGCTTAAATATTAATGCACCACACAAACTATTAAGTTTGTCAGTCGGCTGAAATACGGCTAAATCAAAGCAGGTGTTTGTTTTAAGAGGCCACACTCGGAGCTTTTCACCCAAAAAGCAGTGGAGCAATGTAAGGAGATTTAGTCCTATGGTAGCCGGTGACCAATGATAAGTCTATGTGCCATTCGTCATATCAGGATCCTGGAGTCCATTTGCATCATTGGTTTGGAATCAGGATAGATTTTCCATACCTACCAACTCGGTTAAAGTACCAGACACCCGTTTTCTACAAACAACACCCCCGTCATAGGAAGCTAGTGAGTAGGACTTCTCTGGCAGTGGCTATATATGCATGACCATATGAGAGCATTTCGAGAGAGACCTGGGCTTTTGGGAGCTTATTTCATCATTGAGGAATATCGACCATCTATTTCGTTAGTCATGCATAAACTCGTGCAGTTAACCATTAACAACAACTAAGTGAAATTCATTTATCTGCACTCCCAAACGTAAGTCAATATTGTAGAATCCTAAAACCTGCATAAGTTTTTGAAGGTTTAACATTCCAATATAGCTGAAGCTGATTCTGCTCAAAAATATCAATCCTATAGATTTCACATAGTTCGTTTATTGAATTTCATTTCATCCTACTATTGATTTTCTAGAACAGATATGGAAATGGTTCTTAATCATCTCGTACCTGAGGTATGTTTAATGCCTGATTGTGGATTATCATGTGTTCGTCTAACTTACTCAATGTTTATTTTATTGTTTAAAAATCCATTTTCTTTGAAAATATTGGTTTTCCCTTTTCAGTTTTTATCTAATACTATTTTTTTTATGTATGATTAATATTTCGTATTATTTATGCGTTGTAAATGACCTATGAAGTTAATTATGTGCAACTCGGTATTTTTCTTTATGGCTTTTTCAATGAATCTATGTTAACTATAATTTATATAAAATTTATCATATTTGACTTAGAAAACTTTTAATTGGCCTTCTATTTGTATACATAAAACTTTTTCTCCCCTTAAATATTGACTTACATGGCTAATAATATTCATTTATGAATAGCATCAGTTGATATGGTAAAAAGGTTGTTTGAATGTATTCCAGCTGGTGGATATCATGGTAGACAGAAGCAAGTTCTGAAATTCTAAGCTGTAAACGAATAGATTCATTCGAAAATTTTTGAAATTTCTTTATAAAATTTAATTTCTGTACATGGTATGACAAGCAATAGATTGAAGCGTCTTACAGAGAGAGACTGATCTTTTGGTTACAGTTTTAAGAGTTCAGTTTAGTCGGTTGTAGTTTATTTAGGATAGTTTCCGTCATGAACTGACCTTAATTAGAGAAATTTTCAAAACTTATCGAGTACTGGGCAACTATCTGTTTATTTAGTGTAAAATATTTTAAATTATAGCTAACGATCGAATTTCGGGACGCACATTTTATGCAGATATGATTAGTTTCAAATTAAACAAAACAGGCTTTCGGGATTCTGGGGATAACCACAATCTAAGGTTATAGCAGAAATTTTAACTGAAAGTGATATTGAGAGGGAACCACTCAGGATGCACAAGCTCCAACCGAGATCGATCAAATACAAAGTATTTAAATATTTTCGAAAACTTCCTTATCTACACGAAACAGTAATGTATTAGTTTCAGTTCTCTTTACATGTTAATAATAACAATAAAATAATTATAATTCTTGTGTGGAGCGGAAACTTGAAGAACTACGAAAGCCATCATCCAGAAAATACAAGTATTCATTAACAGTTGTCTACGCAAAATACTTCGGATTCGTTGGTCAAACACCATCCGCAACAACCTACTGTGGGAGAGAACAAACCAAATTCCAGTGGAGGAGGAAATCAGGAAGAAGCGGTGGAAGTGGATAGGACACACACTGCGAGAAGCACTGAACTGCGTTACAAGACAAACCCTCACTTGGAACCCTCAAGGTAAAAGGAAAAGTGGAAGGACAAAAAACACATTACGCCGAGAAATAGAGGAAAATATGTGAAAAATGAACAAAAGTTGGAGAGAACTGGAGAGGGAAGCCCAGGACAGAGTTGGTTGGAGAAAACTGGTGGGCGGCCTATGCTCTTTTGGGGGTAACAGACGAAAGTAGGAATTCGTATTTCTGATGTCTCGTGATTTAATACAAGTCACTTTTTCAAAGTAAATAAATAAATAACCGGAATGAAATAACACAAGTTTAAATGGTTAATAGGGATTACAACGTAATTTTTTTAATGATAAATTCTATTCTTGAATAGTATTTTTATTCTCATATTTATTGTAGTCACTTAAATACAAACACTCTTGTGAGGGTCCTGATGATATGGTAAGTTCATATGGATTTCAATAAAGTACAACTTATATATGATTGTCTTTAATATCTTAGTTTAATTCTAATAGTACATTGATTTGTTGTGTGGTGTTCGACTTTGATATTGATGACCAAGCTTGCTATTTACTAGCTTAATCGGCTAATTTAGTGAGAAGGTGAAGTGAAAAGATAGCTCCTTATTAACCAAATGAAGAAATAATTAGATATATACATGAACTTCGAAAGAAAATGGACGTCCTGAAAAATTTATAACTAATTATTTAGCCAGGAAAATAACCGAAGCCCTAACCATGAACATAACGTCCCTGTATTTACGGCTACAGTTTAGAAATGATGCACCCAGTGAAATGCTGATGTTACGCAGAGCAATTCAAAGAACCCTTAATGCACAGAAACTATGATTGGTGTTTACTACACGTCGTATGGTCACTTTGATATTGAAAGATACATGCGATATTAGAATAAAGAGATACTACACTAAGCATATATATTGGTTTTAAGAAATCTCTTATTCTAGATAATATATTTTTTCCAATGTATTTATATTTTATTCATTAATGTTATGTTATAATGGCGCTAAGTAGCTACTCAAATCCTACCAACGTCCGAATTCAGATATTCCAATACGATCCCAAATACTATTCCCAAATCTCCTATATATCAGAACACAACGCCGTTAGATGAAGCTGTTTATGAGGTCGATAACAGTAGAGATGAAGGAAGGAAGGAATGGAATTGAGTGGCGTCAAAAGCTTTACAGGTCATGCATATTTATACAGATAGGTCGAATAAGAAACAACATGGAAGTCTGTGACATTGATATCTAGGACGTCCAATGGGAAACATCATTTAAAGTGACTTTGATAGTTAGGACGACCATAATATTGACCATTAGGAATCGACCAATAGAATAAGACTTCCAAAAATTGTTCTTTTAGGATATTTGATGAATATCCTAACGTATTCTCTTACTGCATATAATTTTGCGACTTAACAATTTATGTCGTTTTTTTTAAGCCTGCACATGCAAAACAAGCATTACTTGGTGGACCGAGTATTAGTGTGCCAATTACGAATGGTCAGTTAGCCTTAGGTACTTGGCAAGGAATATGGCTTTGTGAACATCGAAATTCTGGTTGTAGGTTTTATTTTTCAACTTTGCAATCTCATATTTATGTTTATGCTCTGTATTTTATTCCTACTATTTGTCTACTACTTCGTATTTCTTAAGGGAAAAAAAATCATACTCTCCTGTTTCCGACATCCTAAACCTTATTCTCAAAAGCATGTTATCCAATCGCTATCACCATACACCTGAATTCATTCTGTGTAGATTAACTAACTCGATCATTCAGTACACTAGTTTGTTAAAGTATCATTCATATAATTTTTTTAACAGTTTTGTCATAAGATTTAAGTAGTAGAAATCAACCTCATTGTTTGCAAACTTTTCAACTATTCAAACTGTGATCAATCACTTACAGCATGTTTGTCGATCGATTGCATCAACTGATTATCTTTGAATTGTAAACAACTATTTTAAGGCGTTGTAACCACTAACTCTGAACTGATAATCTAATATTTGAGTGTTGTTGAGGATGTTAGATCCCCAGAACTCGCTTGATAAATGCCTTAATTTTGGATTTATTTCATGGACCGATCAGTTGACCTTGAGATCACAATTCCCACCAGAGAAATCCTTGACTGTGATTGGTTACTGTGTCATTTTAGTGTGCTATTTTTGTGACTGTCCAAAGGACGTCTCTATAAAGTATAAATAAACGCAATTTGAGTGCTTGGATTCATTGTGTACTGGCTGGGTGTTTGTAGAATACAATTTCTATACTATATCAAGAATTCTTGCTGATACCTTTTGGTCAAGAGATCACAGTAGCCTACCTGGACGCTGATTTATTGTTTTGTTCTTGTTATTCGATTGAGGTGATCTCGTAATAGCTGAAGCATACCTAAAGACGAGTGTAACAAGTGTAAAATTTGTAAACTACTATACCACATTTATCATTCATCAAGGTTAATTAATGACATCCTATCTGCTGTCATGTCTTGAATAGGATACTTTAAGTAACTAGCCTTAATTCCATACAATGACGTGAATTTTCTGATCTTCTTTTTTAAAGCAAACAAACCTCCATCCTTATGCCATGTTCAACTGTTTGTTTTTCCTTTATTTTTATTGTAGCTCCACGTAAAGTAGTGGCCACAATACAAGGATGCCTAAGACAATGAATTTGCTGATTGATTACTTGTGTATATTGCTGATGTTATTTTTTTTTTCTAAAATTTTGTTCAATGATTACTTGCTTGTGTAAGTGATTGGTGCTTATAACATTCCAATTACTTTCAATGTAATTTTTTCAATGATTCATATATTTTTTGCTTAAAATAACACATGAATAATGTAAAGCTTCAACTTCAACTACTTAGCTTTTCCTGCTGTTTGCTTTAATTCCTATCTTTTTCATTTGTAAAAACGTTTGTTTCTTGTTACATATCATTGTCGTGTTATTTTTTCTAACACTTATTTTCATGATGTTAAGTGTTTTCTTCATTTGAGTACTTTGTTCTAAATGAAACCTGTAGAAAGTATGTGATAACTACTTGAAGTTTTGAATCCTATCTTTAGTGGGAGAGTTACGGGTACACACTATTGAGGTCGCCCCATACTACGATGGAAAAGCTTTCCAATCGTTCTGTTTTGTAATGACTGTTGAGTCATAGTCAGCTCGTGTTTTAAACTGTCCTTGTATATTGTTGTTCTGTACTTACATTTGCTCTTTATTGTAGGTTTCGTTTGCATTGAAATTTATTAGTTGTCAGATGAATAACAAATTAATGTATTCGTTGGGTTCTAGACAAAAAATCTATGCTCAACAGTATTTTGCAAATTATTATGTATCTCTGAATCATATGTTTTTGTCTCTTGTACTACTTTAGTGAAGTGTCGCATAAACTACATGGATGCCTAGGTATTGTATTTCTTATGCCGATTATGTGAACCAAGAAAAGTGTTTTTGATACTCTATTAGATATACTCCTCTGTGACTGTAAATATTCCTTTGGTACACAGTACTGCAATATGGTATATCAATTCCAAATGTTGAAATATTCAATGCTCTTACAAACAAGTGTGATATTAAACAACTTGATGTTGAGATGGCTCACAAAAGCCTCCAGAGGCACCCAAGAAACCAAAGCACGATCATATGAACTCAGATCGATAGAATTTTTGAAATGTCCATCACTAACTGCGGATAGGATGTTCTAAAGATGTTTTAACTATACACGAAAAACCATAAATATACATTTATTTCCTGTACATTTCGACACCTACTGAAGTAAAATATTCTTCTGATTTTCTTCCGGCTTTTGATTTGAACCATGTGGAGCGATTCTTTTAGTCCCAATGCCAATGTTTGTATTGTGTATTAGCTCTATGTAGTAACAGAATTAAAATTTTGAAATGTACGTAAAATATAGCCGTTTAATTATGATTGTTATTCTAGTTTATTTATTTATTCTAGTCTAATCAAATCGCACGTCGATGTACAATGTTGCTTCATTTCAAAACTGGTAGATAAGAGTGGAAATTTTAAAATGTCACAATGATCCGTGAAGTCATTATTGACTACTGGTATAAGATGTATAAGTACGTGCTAGCTTCTAAATTGGATCCGTCACAATACCCCTAATTTAATCGTTGTAGAATTTGAATGTGACAATCCGGATTACTATTCGTTGGTGCAAGGTATAATTTTGACTGTGAATGACTTGGCCATTGTATGCAAATAAAAATTCTAAGCTAACTGGATTGTTTACGAATTGATTAGTTAGCAAGCAATATTAAGTTATGAAAATCTTCAAAAATATCACTAATTGTCCTTAATTAGTCTGATAATTAAACAAGATCGTAATATTTATAGGAAATCTAAAACGAGGGAGAGCAGTGGGTCCTGATAGGATAACTCCTGAGATTTTTAAGGATGGTGGTCCAGTTTTAGCAGTTAGATTGACTAAGATCTCAGGTAGAATTTGGGAATTGGACGTAATCCCATCTGACTAGTCTCAATCCCTGATTGTCCCAGTTCATAAAGAAGGATAATAGTCCTCTTGTGACAATCACAGGAATCAGTTTAACTTATATGGTGTCTAAATTGCTAGCCTCGATAATACCTAGACGCTTAACTAGAGCTCGAGAAAGCCAGGCTGGTTTTCTACCTGGACGTGAATGTAGACCCATTTTCACACTACTTCAGGCCCCAGAACTAAGATATACGTTCAGACATCCCACAATAGTATTATTTCTCGACCTTAAGTTGGTATTCGACTCTTTCGTTCGTGAGGTTCTGTGGCAGTGTCTGTCATTAAAAGGTGTACCAGAGAAGTACATTAACCTTATACAAACTCTCTTGTCGAACAGTAGCGGTCGAGTAAGAGTTTGTGGCGAACAGTCATCGGAATCGATTACTTCAAGTATTGTTCGTCAGGGCTGTCCAACTTCTTTATTCTTGTTTAACTTTGTCTTAGATATCCTTTTGAAGTTAACATTATCATCGTCAGATTTTGCAGGGGTGGACCTTCTACCAGGAGGATCGCTTATTGACCTACAAGGTGCCGATGACATTCCATTCGGTGAAGACGCTGGCGAAAACCAGAGTTTTCTGACTACCCTAAGCAACAATGCAAGCATGTTCGGCATGCAGTTATCACCCTGGAAGTGCAAAATGTTGCTTCAAGATTGGCTCGCATCGACACCTGAATTACTGATAGGGAGTGAAGTAGTCGAGCGTATAGACCGCTCCAATTATCTGGGAAGTCTCATCAGTGCTGATGGCTTGATGACTGACGAAATCTCAGCACGGATACAGAAAGCTCGATTGGATTTTGTCAACTTGCATCACCTATAGCGCAAGTAAGATATCCGTTCGCTAACCTAAGGACGAGTGTACTGTGCAGCAGTTCGCTCTCTCCTACTATACGGATGCGAAACATGTCCGGTAAGAGTAGAAGATATTCGTAGGTTACTAGTTTTCAATTATAGATGTCTTCGAAGCATAACTCGTGTATCCTTGGACAACCGAGTAAGCAATGCTGTTGTTAAGAAACGGGTGCTAGGTAAGGATGACAGGTAAATAGATAAAGTGTTGACACTTAATCAGCTGAGGTGGTTGGGGCATGTGTACGTATGCCTAACCACCGACTGCCTCGACGAGCTGTGTTTTGTGGTGTTGGAGGTTGGAAGAAGGTTAGGGGTGGCCAGACTGAAACATGGCAGAAATCACTGACTAGTGGACTTAGTCATGCTGGTAGATATAGACTACCTGGTTGGGGTCCGCGAGATGATAGTAACTGATGGTTAGAGACCCTGAATGACATAGGTCCAAACCGTTTGCAATGGCAGAGGTGTATTCATTCTTTGTGTTCTCTGAAATTCTAATGTTTTGATTCCGTCATCATCTCTTTCTAAAATTATCTTCTTGAATAATATCTTGGAACCCTAATCTTACCGAATACTGCTCATACTTCTACTACCTACACTCTTATGGGATTTAAAATGATAGTTGCATCTGTGTGTTAATGTGGTTTGGCAAGTTGAACTGATGTACGTACGTACAAAGTTCGACGTTGTAATTAACTGAAAAAGTCACTGTAATTTATTTACTCTAGACTCAATTAGTTCCTTTGGTTAGGAAATAAATCAAGACAACTAATAACGGAAACGGCTGTTCGAAAATGTACATCAGTTCGATTTACAACATGACATGAATACACCTTTAAGTCTTCAACAAGATAAGCATCAAAAGATTCAAAGTAGTAGTATTATAAATAAAAATAAAAAATTTAGTCTAGCACCAAATCAAATGAAGTAATGTTAGATCCAGAAAGTAAATGAACAAATCTGTAATTGATAATCAATCATGTCTACTCATAGATTATAATCTTTATTTAGGTCCCATCCAAGACATTTACAGGACCAAGTACTAGTCAATGGATGATTTTATATTTCTGTCTGCCCTGTTTTAACATCCTACCAACCTTATAAGATATAGCTACCGACCTCATGCAGTGGTATATTTAATCCATTTATTCACAAGTATTACTTTTGTGTTCAATGGCAGTTGAACGCAGTAAAATGAGACCAAATATGTATTATAGAATGTAGATGTAATATAGAATATTATTCATCGTTCTTTGTGCGTACAAACAAATTAAAAACGTACAATTGTTAAGTTTTAAATATATGTTCAGTAGTGTATGCGACTGAGTTACTGCGCCCACTTACAGGTTAGGCACAATCTTACTTCAGTGTATTTGATGGTTTAATATGCGTAGTACTGTATTTCAGTGACAGTGAAAGTATTCATGAGATTATGACTGCAGGATAAACTAAGAAACTTATTTTTTGACAGACAAAATTTGCAATGTGAGTTGAACCGAATATGAATACTGCTCTATTCAGGAAGAAATGAACACTAAGGGACTTATCTAGCAAAGAGATTCATTTCTGTACAGATTTGCATGTATTGTTATAAGTTGACCGAAATGGCACTAAATTGAGCTGAATGTAAAAGATTACCAAACTAAACTGATAGAATGAAAACACGTTGAATTAAATAAAATAATATCACATGGGGTTGATACAAACAGAGATGTTATGTAAAATATGTGCTGTATTGAAGAAACTGGAACACTAAACATTTACGTGACCCCTTCTCGATAGTTTATTGCTACCTTTATCACGTAGTTCTATGTCACTAAGATGCTCTACATTTTCGGGCAGACAATCATTGACTTGAAAGCCAGATAATAAAATTGTTGCATTTGCGAGTAAACCTATAATTAAATCCAATAAGAGTCAGAATTCATCACAAATCGACTTACTTTAGTATTAGTTCAGTTTTTGTAGTTAGATTGATCAGCTGGCAGTTGTAAATGGGATAAAATGTTAAATGATTTGGAAATGAGTACCTTCATAGCACACATAAGTATTCAATGTAACGTGTAATGTAAATGAAGAATTTCGAAACGTTAGTGAATAAACTCACTAAGATTCAGAAACAAATGATTGTCGTCACATTTATCATCGACTACAATTTATGTAAATAAACTACACTAGTTATGTTTACATCAACATTTTGATCATTAACAATGAAAATAAACATTCAGTTCGCTGATGTTTATCATCTCAATCAACAAACATTTTATTGTCTTCCCTACAAACTACCTATTATTTAACATTAACTCAAACTACTAAAGATTACTCAACTATAGAAAGATTCTAATTAGGAGATATTTGAATAACAAAAATAACCGTTTTGAAAATAAAAAAAGATTGTAATTCAGAATCAGTTAAGTAGTGTATTTGGAATTTCTAAATCTCCTAATATACTCAAATTTGAAATTATCCCATTCAATCATGAAAATAATAAGTCGGCTATTAAGACTGTAGATTCCTCTTCATTTTATAATTGCTAAATTGTATCATGTGAAAAAAATCGGTTTCGTTTTTGCTTTAGTGTTGATACAGTCACAAAATCATAATTTAAACAATTATTATCAATCATAATGATCATGACCACAATATCTGTATAATTAATACAAGTATTGTGAATAAGGCAGACAAGGAAGTCTTTGGACAATTCATGCTAGTATACTTCATATGCGCATATAAGTGATTCTAATTTGAATCAGTCGAATGAAATTATATTACCTGCATTGGATTTTCAACTAAATTAAATATATTACTATAAATCGATAAATCGACCTCATATTTCTGCGAAAAAAAAATTACACTTCTATTCAAACTAGATGCAAAGCTGATCCACATCTCATACACACATATATATAACTATTAAAATAAAATCTCTACTCTTTCTTTGTAAAGTAGTGATCTTATTATCAAGTTGAAAATGGTACTGCACAATGATGAATATTTAATTATCATTGATCCAAGTTATGAGAATTTACAAACATTTCGTCAAGATTTTGATTATGATTTAGTCGGTAACGCTATCAGCTTACATGCATCATTTATTCGCAATCCAATCGGTTATGTACACAGTATTATTGAACAACATGTGATAGAGTTGGCATTGACTAGTCTAATCTGTTTCGGTATATTTCTTGTTACGATTTGTTTGTTGTATATAATCAAACGAATGATTCATTATATCAAATTAATCAAGTTATTTATAAAAGAATTCAAAAGTTTACGATCACAATTAAAAGAGATTAAGAAAAATAATTTACCAATGAATTATGATTTATATGCAAAATCAATATTCACTGTATTAATAAGTTATTATGAATTATTCAAAGGTAAAGAGAAGAGAATTATACCGGAAGATATGATTGAATTTGAAATAATACGTTTTGTGTTAGAAGCTGCATGGAAAAATACTGTAAGCAGTAGACAATTGTTGGTATACACGGAAAATTTGAATAGATCAACTGAAGATAAATCATTGAAAGAACCGTTAGAAGAGGATTTAAACAATGTAATTGACAATCGAAATGTAGTAATGATTGATGATGAGAATCAAAATATCAATAATTCACGACCGCCTAAAAAGTCTTACATAACAGACGATAATGATAATGACAGGATCAATAAAATAGATTACCGAGGAATAAATAAGCAAAATCTATCAAATAAATCAACTGTAAAACCACGTTATAAAGGAAAGTATGATTAGTTCCAATGATAGAATTACACAATATGGTAGAACAAATAAATATTTCTCTTTACCTAAATAAATACACATATATTTTGATTTGTACTAAATAAGCTACATTAAACAAATGCAACTGATTCACAGTATACTAATGCACCAAGTAAAATAAATGAGGAAAAAGGAATTAACAAGTGAAATTGACAAATACCGGTCATACCAACCTAGGTAATATTGTTCTCACAATCGATCTTGTAATTATTTATTATTACTCAGCAAATATTCCATTTTGATGGTTTAATAATAAAAAAAAAACTCTTACTAAAACTGATTGTTGAAGTTGTTCTTCTGTCAAAAAAATGAACTGATTCATTATGAACGAGAAATTCGTAGATAAAGTACAATAGACAAATACAATGAATTAACACAATAATTTTTATTTTCAAAACCATTTCCATTCCTGGTACAAATGAGAGCTGAACATTCAAAAAACAAAAAAACAAATCATTCCGATATTAAATTTAAAATTATCCAAAACTACTAAATTCTTTTTTGGGAGGCAGAGCTCTGGAGATTTGTGTTTTTACACATTTGAAATCATCAATCAATCATTGTTAGACCATCATTAGAAACACACAAGCACTAGATGGCCGTTCCGTCCTGGTATGAGACTCATCAACAGTGCGCATCCACGACTCCTACATCTCGCACGATTCGAACCATCGGACCACTGGGCCGGCATCGAACTGTGTTAATGTCTAACTCTGATTGATCTAGGGATTTTGCGCGACCTCACCCATTTGCCTTTGGTAGTTACTGCCTACATCCGACAGGGTTGAACTCGATTGGTCACGTCTTCTCAACTGGAACTCCGAGAATTTACTCACGAAGCTAGTCACTAGTGAGCACTGTTACGATATTTTGGGGCAGAGTTTTGGAGGTGTGTTTTTACACATTTGAAATCGTCAAGTACTAAACTCTATAGTATATCTAACAGAATGAGGAGTGTTCAGACAAAGCAGTAAGTAGATGGTTAGATATCATGTGTCTAGATGGCTTCAAAACCAGCTAGTGACAAATGAATCGACAAATGTGGAAGATAGAAAAGTATGTGTCATGTGACACCCTTGAAAAGTATCCTACTAAAATAAAGAGAACATGTTTGTCTCAATCAAGTTAAAATCATTGACTCGACAGGTTATATAATACAAACAATCTGAATAGTTAGATGTCACAGAGTGTAGGAACAGAATGATGACTCAGTCAACATAGGCCAAAAAGTTGAAAAGAAAGACGCTCGAAAATAAAATGAACATTAAGATGTAAGGTAGACAAATCCTATCGCAAATACAGATTCAAAGCAGAAAAACAATTACGATTTAAGTGGTGCGCCAATTTCAAAGACGAAATCATTCATGGATTATCTAATAGCGAATTCAATAGAATACTATTTAGAAAATTATTCACATATTTTTTTTTTATATAATACCGGTGAATTTACTTATGACGAATTGTTTGTATTTGAATTAACAATCGCCTTTCAGTTGTCGCATAAGAATGTATCCATTTGATAAGTAATAAAATATTAATTGAATAATCAATCCCTTCATCTACCCTGATCAATACATCACAGATTATGACCTTGAAATTGTAACGTGACTATATTTCAAACACAGGTCGATCAATAAAATCTACCGATATATAAAACGTTCGGTAAGTAAGTGTAAAGTAAATTTACCTATTAAGAATTTTATACTTTTGCTGCCGTAAAAGAATCGATTATGTCCGTCAAGTTATCGTCTATCTTCATTATTGATCCAACTTATGAAGATGTACATAAGTATGCAGAAGATTACGATTACGATTTACGTGGCACGCCAATTTCAAAGACGAAATCATTCATAGATTATCCATTAGCTAATTTAATAGAATATTATTTAGAAAACTATTCATTTATTTCTTATTTAATACCGGCGATTTTATTTCTGATGAATGCTTTTATAACAACTCTGATTGCAACTATCAAATGGTTACGTGATTACGGGAATATGTTCGAAACACTGAAACGTGGTTCAGATGAAAGCTATCTGCAGAAGCTTAAACCAACTGAACTGAAGCATATCTTTCCTCATCTATCGAAACCAGACCACCAACAATGTGAAGAAGGCACTGAAAATTTGACAGGATTAGATCCTAACACCAACTGGCTACCCAAAATCTGAGAAAATTCCTAGCAACCCAAGTCGATGATACGTAATCAAATGAAAATAATATAAATTCAATTGATTAGATAATGCAGCCCCGAGAAGTTGAAGTATAAGGTCGAATAGATGAATACATATCTCTAGAGTGCGAGTTACAATCAAACTGGTCACAAAGCATGAAGAAACAAAATCTTATCTTTAGAACAGTGAGAGTCTCTTGTATATTACAATGAACATGATCAAAACATTAAAAGGAAGGTTGCAAGAATCCTAACAATGAACAAGAGACTGATTCTTATAAAGCGAAAGCATAAATAGTAAATAGTAAGAATCAAAAGCAATTACCTGTATTTCAATTCAAACGAATTGACGAAATACATGGTCAAGTATGTGGAACCAGTGAAAAGAAGTTGTCAGTGCCGGTTTCACAAAATAAAACACAAAATCAAAGATACCAATTAAAACAACGCCCAATGAAGTTTATTAAACCATTGTATTGAAGGACTGAATGAGCTTCGTTTAATGGTAGTCGCTAAGTGTGAAATCCACATACTCTATCACAAGTTATCTATCAACTATTACGCAAGACATTATAAAAGGTATAAATGTTCTGAAGAAGAAAATTCAAAAGAGCCACAATGAATGACATAAATAATTGATCAATCAAACCTAAGTGAAGATTGCACAAAACTGCTGAAAGAAACCAATTTCTCTTCATAAATAAACAACAAATTGGTAGAAGCAAGAAAGTATCGAACATTTGTCGGTCGATTTATTTTAGAGATATTATTTAACTGAACTATATTTTCAGTGACAATATCATTATTATTATTAAGAATAATAATAGTAATGTTGTATAATATTCGCACGGCTTTTGATGAAAATACTTTAATTTTATTGACCATTTTTTGTGGCTCCGCATTTACAAGTCAACGTTTATTTGTCATAAGGACTCTATGGCATCTTTGAATGTTCGACACGATGTGTTGAGGGTTATTATCATTGAAATAGCGTTATTTCAAAATTTTGTAAGAAGAATCGATAATCTAAGAGGAAGTTTTCTGCGTACTATATCAAGTCAAGTTTGTACACTCGGTATCACTGTGTCTAGATTATGGAATCTGAGATAATTACTTCACAATGTGTACAGGTATTTTCGATATAGAATACTAATTATTCAAGCTGTACTAGTGTCTTAATTATAAGCATTTTAAATTTCTTAATTGGTGTGATCTGGAATCTCCATACTGTTTAGTTGTCCAGTCATGCACCCTTAAGCAATAATAAAAATCTATTTTTGATGTTTTTCCCTATTGTAGTGAAAATAGTTCCCAGCCGGATAAATTAAAACAGTCATTTATTAAGGGTTGTTCAAAGTTTAGTAGATGCTCAGATTAAATCAGCTGACGATAAAGGCGAAGATGCCAACGCAAAATTTCAGCTACAATATTTATTGAGTGTCTGCTGGTTGAAAGCTCCCATCATTATTGGCAATAGTTTGACAATAACTCATTCTTAAAAAAGTAAAGACTTAGTTTCTGACCATGTAAACAACTAGAAACGACTATATGGGACATTACACAATAAGATCGGTGCATGATAATATTATATGCTATTAACTGTTAAACAAAACGAACTTCACACACGCTACTCAGACAGACAGATACAACGCAGAACTTCGTACATAAGTACATCAGTTCAGCATGCCATACCGCATCAGCACACAGACGTAACTGTCAGTTCAAATCCAACAGTGATAGCGATAGTAGAGATATTAGCAGCAGTATGGAAGATTAGGGAGCGAAGATATGATTCGAAAAGTATAATTCAGTAAGATAAATTTAGAAGGAGAAAGACAGAGATTATGAGGAATTCAGGTTAGAATTTCATAGAACACAAAGAGTGGATGCACCTGCGCCAGTACAAACGATTCTGAGCCATGTCATTCAAGGTCTCTAACCATCGGTGACTATCGTCTCGCGGACACCAACCACGTAGCCTACATCTACCAACATGACTCAGTCCACTTGTTAGTGACTTCATGGATTTCTACCATGTTTTGAGTTGGCCGCCCCTCACTTTCTTCCAACTTATTCCTACGTCAAAAAACATGACGTTTCAATGCTTCATCTAGTGATTTGCCATCCTTACCTAGAACTCGTATCCTAACGATAGCTTTGCTTACTCGGTGGTCCCAGGATACACGAGCAATGCTTCGGAGACATCGACGATCGAAGAATAGTAGCCTACGAAAGTCCTCTACTCTTAAAGGCCATGTTTCGCATCCGTATAGTAGGACAGAGAGAACTGCTGCACAGTACACTCGTCCTTTGGTTAACAAGCGGATATCTCGCCTGCGCCATAAGTGAAGCAGGTTGGCAAAAGCCAATCGAGCCTTCTGTATCCGAGCTGAGATTTCGTCAGTCACCAGGCCATCAGCAATGATGAGACTCCCAAGATAAGTGAAACGGTCTACACGTTCGACTACTTCACTCCCTATAACTAGATCAGGTGCTGGTCGTGAGTAACTGAAGAGTGGCTCGTGGCCAGTTGAACTGATCCCTAAAGTGTTCTGCCCATCGGTCCAGTCTCCTGGATTGAGAATGGATAATAAGGCCAACCTTTTTCGAAACAGTCTAACTCACATTTGGGTTCCGAATACCAGTTTCCTTGATGAGTCTAGATAGTTGCCTTTTCCATCGCTTTTGCTTTCGCCAACAACCACTGTCCACGGTCGTTACGTATGCTTTTTATCAGTCTGCGCCTAAGTTGACTTCGTTCTTCATGTTCAGAGCCAGTTGGGATGAGTTTTCGAGCCCCTATCAGTTCGATAGATGCTATTGAGATCCACGGCTTTATCCTAGCTTCATGGTTTACCTTACTAGCAGATATCACAGCTGTTTCCACAGCCTTTTTGATATCATACCAACCTACTTCCGGATAGGAATCGCTTACATGGTTGCTTAACTCTCTTTCTAGTTGCTTCTGAATTATATTCTTAGCTTCATTATCATTAAGTAAAACCCTAAGAGGCTTCCTGACAGTGTCTTTCCTACGTCCAGTAAGCCTCAAACAAACACGAGCTCGCACTAGGGCATGATCTGAATCTAGACATGTGCCCCAGAACGAGCGACAGTCTTCTATCGAACCCCTCCATCGGTGGCTGATGGCGATGTGATCTAGTTCGGTCCAACGTTGAGACAACGTCGGGGGTCGCCAGGTTAAAAGATGTTTTTCCTTATGCCTAAAGTTAGTGTTTGCTAGAAATAGTTGGTTTTCTGAGCATACTTGCAACAGACGGTCACCATTGTCTGTTCTCTGAGCCGCGACACCATAACATCCACCTGGGTGTCTCTCCTGCTCACTTAGTCTACCTACTTGAGCATTAAAGTCACCAGCCAGTAATACTATATTAGAGCGCCTAGCTTTTTGGAGGAGGTCCGAAAGCTTTCTGTAAAACTCATCTTTAACCTCGTCTGAACTGCAGTCAGTGGGGGCATAGGCAGATATGACGAAGAGGCAACGACGAGTGTCCCTATCTTTCGGAATCCTTACTGTCCCGTCCACGCTACTCAAATAGGAAATAACACTCTCTATTCTAAGGATTACACATTAGAAATCAATCAATGCGAAGAAATACAGTGAGTAGTGTTGATTGAAAGAGTAAATACAAAATAATTTATTGACTTTATACTGTAAATATAATGGACATAATTAATATACTTTGTATGTTTGTTTAGTTTCCTAAATATGTAAAAGCTGTTATTAGGATAAATATTTTTTTTCTACAAAAAAAATTATAAAATTTAAAAATCTAAAAAAAAAATTAATTTTTTCAATACATTTACAATTCTATGTTGAATAAACTGTTCTATCATAGAATACAAAAATATAAAAAGAAATTAAAAAAAAAAGAAACAACAACGAAACCGATTAAATAATATTTATGGAAGCATTTGTCGAAGTATAAAAATCATTTAAACCGAAGATAATTGTTAATTGTGCTAATTTTGATCGACCACTTCGAATACTATGACTATTATCTCGACTATCAGTAGTAGTAGTAGTAGTAGTAGTAGTAGTAGTATTATGAACAAGTAGACGATTGACACGACGTCTCAGAAATTGACTGTAACTACGAAAACTTGCATGAATGGCATATAATTGCCTCCATTCTGTATGTTCAATTTGTTCACTGGCTCGAAATGGTTGTTCATTATTATGAATCTGATTAATTGGACGATGTGATGATGATGATGATGATGATCTAACAATCCATCTGCCTGTTAATAAAGCACGATGAAATTGATGTGCACATGTTAGCAAACTTTGAAATAGTAGATTTAATTCATTGTCTGATGTATCTAATAAAAGACTAAAAGAAAAAAATTATAAATACGAAACTATATTACTACACTATCCAAATTCATCAATAATATACATGTAATGAATAAAAGTTAGCTAGCTAGCTATACATAATAATAAAGTTTATGGCAACAGAATACACAGTATAAGTAAAAATAAGCTGGTAGTAATGTTTTGTTTAACAGAATTAGGTACCGATAACACACGAAACTCAAATTAAGAATCTAGTCTAGCCTTGACGTCACAGTAAGTAGACGAAGTGATGACTCGCTAAGTAGAAGCGTATATAAGAAAAAATCCTGCTGCTTGTCAATACACTCACTTTTGTAGTTTTACATCTATCCGCTACAAAAGAAACTTGGTTAGATGTCTCACTAGCAGAGCAAAAATGATCTGTTCAATGGATACTTTAGGTCAGGAGCTGCAATTTATCAACAACTCACTGACCGAGATCGGCTACCCCAGCGCATTCATAAGGAAGTATATGATTGATGTAAAAAAAGAAGTCAGTAATTTTGACCGTCCGAAAGAAGCCATTACTTATCAAATTACAATTCAACGGAGATGTGGCCTGCAATACTCTGCAGGACAGATTAATGCATTTACAAATTCAGCCGATCCTGTTGAGATAGCTATATCGGGCGTACTACCAGGCAACTTAACCAACGAATGAGTGAACATCTCCCAGCATGGTTTAAGAAGGGTCAGTCAAAAAAATAATACGCAATTCGATCTTAGCACACCTAGTTGATAGTGGTCATATTGTAGATAAGTGTAGTCTTTAGTTTAAAGAAGATGAACAGTAGTGTTGTAGAAAATCAACCGAAACTGATATTATCTACTGTTAGTTTCAAGTTTATTTTTCTGTTTCTTAGGACATGATGCATCACTCTATATCTTCTCATAAATTTATCTCAAAGGCATCGATTGCATCTGTTTTCTAACTGAAACAGTGATAATAAAGTTTGTCAAGACGTTACAATGAATGATCAATAAATCTTATTAAGAAATAAACTAACTTACTAATCAATTACAATTGAGTAGGAAAAACGAAAGTACTCGTTTGTGAGCTTTCACATTCATGAATAAAATCAACATGATATCAGACAGAGTATATTGTATGTGAACTATCAATCATTGTAAATAACACAAGGAAAATATTATTTACTCGAATTGGAGAAAAAAACTTGTATTTATTTAATCAAATTTTCAGGTTTCAACAGCATAATTTTAGAAAAAAACTCTTTGAAAGCTAATACTTTTAACGTGTTAAGCTCATTAAGAGCTCATTTTAAGTTGGTATTCTTTGATATTAACAAATGGAAAAATAACAAGAATTCAGTAGCTTTTCTCTTTCTCTCACTAAATTCCACTTCTTGAATAATATCTTCGAACCCTAATCTCTCTGATTACTGCTAATACTTCTACCAACTCTACTACTATGGGATTTGAAGTGACAATTTTGCATCTCTGTGCTAATGTGGGTATGGCAACCTGAACTGATGTACCTACATACAAAGTCCTATTTTTCCGTTATTGTTGTTGACTGACTGATTCTCCTGCCCGTTCCCCATTTAGAAGATTTGAACTTTTATCAACTTTCACAAATAATGTGATGAAATAATACTTATCAAAACAATCATATTATCAGTTTTTACTAGAAAATGATGATCAAAATGCTGTTTTAGAATTATATTAAGGTCTTTATTACAATATATTTTTATATATATACATAGACACATTGTTGAGAATGTTAGAAGAGAACAAACATTCATTCCAATTTATTTGAAATCTCATCATAACTATGCACTCACTAGTGACTAGCTCCGTGAGGAATCTCCGAGTTCTAGTGAAGTTCAACTTGTTTGGGTGTAGACAGAAACTACCAAAGACAGTGTATGAGGTTGCGCAACTCCGTGAATTGATCGAAGTTAAACATTAACACAATTAGATACCGGCTCAGTGGTCCAAAGGTTAGGCATTCGCGTGCAAGACCGAAGGTACTGGGTTCGAATCCTGCGAGGTGCAGGAGTCGTGGATGCGTACTGCTGATGAGTCCCATTCCAGTGCTTTCCAGGCTCCTAATAGTGGTGTGACATTGGTCGATTCATGATTTCAAATATATATATATATATATATATATATATATATATATATATATATTAAATAAAGGTTGACAGCTCTAAACAAATACTAATGGACTGTATTGAAAATTTAGACGATAGAAAATTCAATATAACCAACCTTTAACTTGAAATATATAAGTAAGAAAGCAAAGAGCAAAAAAAAGACACATCAAGATGATTATTAAAGACAACACTTACCCAGATAGAATTTCATTTAAATAATTTTCATGTACATTGAACAATGAATCTAAATTGTCAATGTGTTGTTCACTTTTAATGGATTCTTCATTATTATTATTACAATAATTATCATTAGGAATATTTTCCGCGTATTTATCAATTTTCAATGAATTATCAATTACAGATGATATAAAATTATAACATGTATTAGATAAACCTAAGTAATGAATAAATTTACTCCAACATGCATGTATATGATTAGATAAATGCATATTTAAATTATAAATCACTTGATATAATTCATGTAACCATAAATGTATACAATGAAATGTTTTTGATAATTGATCCGCTATCAATGTTGATGAGTATGATGACACGGTTGTTGTAAGGGATGATTTAGAATTTAAATTTAATAAATAATTTAAACAATAATTATGATCAGTTTTCAATTGTTTATTGCATGAATTCAATGCCCATAAAGCAAATTGACATTGAATTAAACGTTGAAAAATACAATTATATTTTTGCATAATATTCTCATTAAAACAAAGATTAATTGGCCATGGTGCATGATAGATTAAATGTAAATTTTTAAAAGATATATATTCATTAGGATGATCAATGATAGATGAATGATTATCTAGTATGGAATAATTTGATTCTATATCGAAATCATTGTCTAACGAAGAAGGTACAGTGGTGGTTGATTTTGATGATGACAATGAGATTAAATCTAAATAATTTTTTATTAATTGTGTAGTGTTTATTAATGGAGAATTAATAGTTTTGCTGTCATGATTATTATTAATATTACTATTAAGATCTGAATTGAAATTTGATAAGAATTGTTGATTGGCCATATCTGTACTTATTGATTTTATAAGTTGTTGAAGATAATTTGTATCGAATAAATTGATACGATCATGAACTGGTCCAGTGGCCTGAACAAATAAAAATAAATAACGAAAATATTTACGTGTATTCTATGTGAATAAGTAGAAAATATACATTTTCAGTGGGTTTTTCAAATTATTTATCATTCGAATTTCAAACAACATCCTAATTATATTTTGGGGCAGAGTTGAGGCTTGTGTTTTTACACATTTGAAATCATCAATCAATGGTTGTTAGACCACCATTAGAAAGTTGGAAGCACTGGACGGCCGTTTCGTCCTGGTATGGGACTCATCAGTGGCAGTGCGCATCCACGACTCTTGTACCTCGCAGGATTCAAACCCGGGACCTTTGGTATTGTGCGCGAACGCCTAACCATCTGACCACTGGGCCGGCTTACATGTTTTGATTTTACCCTGATTGATTGCTTTAAAGCATTATACAACAATCAGGCTTTTTTGATATCAATCAAAAGTCTCACTGCATTTATATGATCAATTGATTCTTTTGTAAAGTAAAAAGATCTCATAGAATAGAAAAAATTAATTGATTAATGTGAAGTATCAACCGAAAAGTTGAAAAATTAGTATTCCGAATTCAATGGTGAAAATAGGTTCCAACATGTGTGACGTGCATGTGACGTGAATTGGTTCAAACAATTAAAGTTATTCACAGTTCAACTAATAAATCGTCTTCATTTGTTAAATTAATACTTTTCTAAAGCTTCATGTCAATTCAGCTTGACATGAATCACTCCTAAATTAAAAATACGCCTCAAACTATCTTAACATAAAAAAAATGGACAAAGCCTTATTATCGATAATTGTTGCAAATAGGTCAGTATTGAAAATTTTGATTTCACATTACTGATTTACCCGATATCATGCTTTTAGATATGCCAAAATTGAACTAAGCACCACACATTTTAATAGAAAACTTGAATAAATTCCAGTTCTGCGGAATGTCATCCTCGTAAATACTAACTTTGTATCAGTTGCCTACACAACTTTTTTAATACCTGTCCATTAATTTTAAAGATGGCAAGAACAATATTATCCCTATGTCTCGTATCTGAAAACAATTAGAAGTGATATGGAAAGTGGTAATGTACACAGTGAAATATCAGTTTACGAGAACTAGTTGCCAAAGTCGAAATTGAAGATGGGAAACTGTTCAAGAGTTCCGAAAAGTCTCCAAAGACTCAGAAATGTCAGGAAATCCAAAACAGCATTGAATAGAACCTTCACCATTGCGTCTACAAAACAGAATATCATGTGCCACAACTGATTGGATATTTATACATACCACTACTATGGCTCCTGAAACTTCTAAAAGCTCATTGGCATGTGTAACTCAATAAATACCCCCATTTTCGTGTACATAAAATAACCTTCGAAAAAAGCGTTCTTTCCGTATCGCCCGCCTTTTCTCCTGTATTTAATTTGCCGTGTAGATTTAATCTTAGGTTATTAGATACGAGATTTATCAGGAACTTAACTATGAGAAAACAAACATAGCCTAGTATTTCTAAAGTTATATACAAAGGGCTGTGAACAATAATTTATGCATAAGGACCAGCAATTTGATCAGGTTTCCAAAAACGGAATTCAATGAAGTACTGATGAATAATAAACCAATTAGACGTTTAATAGATGAACTATACACTAACATTAATTATGTTTGAAGTATGTACACACTTTTAACAATGAGGATATTTTATCAAACAAACAGTTTCTTTTTCAAAGCCTAATTGACAAGCATACATAATGGTAATGCGGTAAAGAAACTAGTTGAAGGGGAATCATTCAAAAATCCTCAGAACTTATAAACACTTTTGATTTAGCAATAAAGAGTAATACAAAGTGCCAAGAGGACAAACATCCTAGCCAACGAATGTGTTGTATGTTTAGAACGAGAGTAATCTCAATATGTTGACTAGTTTCTTTTCACATTGGATGGTTTTGGAATTTACGGGAAGTTTCCCGTGTAACAACTTATTATATAAACAATTCGGTTTCTTACTTCTGTACAGTGGCTTCAGTATTTGTCTAAATTATTCTATTTTTGTCTAGGCTTCGATCAAGTTACGGCGAAATGTACTACCAGTCAAAGACACTGACAATGATGTAAAATTTAATAGTACAGGAATCTAGTAAGAATTTAGGACTGTAAACAACAAGAACCTTTACCACAATTATGAATCGATATACATACCAATTTTAATAATATACTCCATTTCAAATTCAATAAAAAATAAACAGCTAAACGCTAACCTTATGAAACAAAGCATTCAATAATGGTTGAGCAAAACTTCCATTAGTTAGGAAAAAAGTTTCATACAAACAATAAAAGTGATCACATAGACGAAGATCAAATATGAAATAATTGCATAGTGTACTATTCACATGTTTCATACTGTAAAATATAAAAGAAAATTACAGAAATGAAGTAATAATTAGTGGGAAAACACTAAGAATTTATGTTCTCTACTTGCTATCTAATCCATTGGAGTAGTGTCCAACACATCAAATTATTCAAATAATTACATTAAATTTTATCATGGGATCGATTTCCTATATAAGCGATTTTAAGTAACCAGATATGTAAATCACGTTAATAGAAAAAAATGCTAGTTTCTAATTTAGGATTAGCCGATAGAGATACTGTTTGCATAGATGGGTACACAGTGTTTATCAAAATCCCATTGAAGATATTGAACATTTGTTTGGTTCATAACATTCCATCTCAATAACGTTCACACTGACTGTTTAATATGTAATTCAAATCCGCATCAATACGGTTCACTGCAAAAACCAACTACAACCCGTAGTTTTGAAAGTGGAAAATTCAAAGGAGATATACATAAAGGTGGATCACCTGTAGCACCTCACATAAATTTTGTATTTTTATCATTGCTGAGCTTGTATGCGCATGTACGCTTGGGCATTACTTGCCACCTACACATATAGTTATTTGACTAGTTTTATCGATTAACAGTTTAAATAATTCGGTGGCAATATCGACTACGCATATTTGAATTAAATCCGATATTTGTATCGATCATAAAAATATTTTGAATAAAAAAGAAATTGTGGCAACGACTTGTGTTCTCTAGTAGCAATCATCAAGACGGAGATATACGGAATTTAGAAGATAAAGACAGTCCAACGCCACACACCAATATCTGCAAGACAAGCAAGCGTAAACCTCCAGTTGTATAGGATATATATGTATGTATAATGACAGTATGTTAAGGATTTATAACTGTCTGTCGCTCAGAACAGGATAGCACAAAAAATAGAATATTATCGAGTTTTATTTACCCAGTCGTAATATCACATAATGTGGGAGAGTACAAACCAGATTCCAGTGGAGAAGGAAATTAGGAAGAAGCAGTGGTAGTGGGTGGGACACACACTGTGAAATGCACCCAACCTGGGACTCTCAAGGTAAAAGGAAAAGAGACAGGTCAAAGAACACATTACGCCGAGAAATAGAGAAAGATATCAAAAGAATGGACAGAACTGCAAAAGGAAGCCCAGGACAGAGTCGGCGGCCTATGTTTCATTGGAGGGTAAGAGGTGTAAGATCACACAACCCAACAGAAAACTTCCGAGAACCGATGACATATTATGACTTTATGGGGATTGGTTGTTCTTGTCATAATAGCTCATTACTTTTAAAATCTTAGAACCTGCACTGGAATTTTATAAACAATCTTAAAAATTAGAAAAAAATATACTAAACTTTTCAAAACAAAGTAAGCATTTTTCAAGACAAAACATACTGAATAGTGAGAGGCCAAATCACAGAACGATTTATGAGTACACGTAAAGGCATGGATAATGAATTATTTGCATTTTTAATCAATTCGTTAAGCTCATTCGACGACTGTACAGATGAATCATAGTTTGTGAATATCGACGATACAGGAAGACAACAACTTTGATCTATGGTAATGAAAAAATTATTATTATTATTATTATTATTATTATAAGTATTATGATTATTATTATTAACCATCAATATCGGAACTAAAACTGTTATGTGGTATTGTCAGGATATTAAATGCCATAATCTGTAAATTATGGCAGTGGCTCAAAGGCTAACACTTGACTGGTTAGAAATAATCTCAGTAATCAGATCCTAATAAATTGGTGAGCAAACTCGAGAAAACCAATCTGGTTTTCGACCTGGACGTGGTTGTATAGACCACGTCTTCACAATACGACAGGTCCTGGAACATAGACACACATTTAGGCGTCCTACAATAGTTGTGTTCCTGGACCTAAAAGGGGCATTTGACTCAGTGGATCGTGAGGTTCTGTGGCAGTGTCTGTCATTGAGAGCTGTACCTAAGAAGTACATTAACCTTATACAAGCTCTCTACTCGAACACAACTGGTCGAGTGAGAGCTTATGGCGAACTGTCACCGGAATTCTTCACTTCAAGTGGTGTTCGTCAGGGATGTCCACTCTCTCCATTCTTGTTTAATTTTATCATAGACACGCTCCTAGAAATAAACTTATCCTCGTCTGAATTTTCAGTAGTGTAACTACCAGGAGATTCACTGGTTGACTTAGAACATGCCGATGATATAGTCCTACTTGGTGAAGACGCTGATAAAATGCAGTCTTCTGACCACCCTCAGCAACAATGCAAGCATGTTCGGGATGCGGTTCTCACCCTCGAAATGCAAAATGTTGCTTCAAGATTGGGTTTCATCGGCACCTGAACTAGTGATAGGGAGTGAAGTAGTTGAACGTGTAGACCGCTTCACTTATCTGGGGAGTCTCATCAGTGCCGATGGCCTGGTGACTGACGAAATCTCTGCACGGATACAGAAGGCTCGATTGGCCTTTGCCAACCTGCGTCACTTATGGCATAGGCGAGACATCCGTTTGCTGACTAAAGGACGAGTGTACTGTGCAGTGGTTCGCTCCGTCTTACTTTATGGCTGTGAAACATGGCCAATGAGAGTAGAAGATACTCGTCGGTTATTGGTTTTCGATCATAGGTGTCTTCGAAGCATTGCTCGTATATCGTGGGACACCCGAGTGAGCAGCGCTGTTATTAGGAATCGGGTGCTAGGTAAGAATGGAAGATCAATCGATGAAGTGGTGAAACTTCATCAGTTGAGGTGGTTGGGACATGTGTTGCGTATGCCCAACCACCGACTGCCTCGAAGAGCTTTGTTTTGTAATGTAGGAATAGGTTGGAAGTTAGGGGTGGCCAAACCAAAACATGGCAGAAATCCATGAAGTCATTGACTAGTGGACTGAGCCATGTCGGTAATTGTCGACTACCTGGTTGGGGTCCGCGAGATGATAATAATCGATGGTTAGAGACCTTGAATGACATGGCTCAAAATCGTTCGCAATGGCGCCGGTGCATTTATTCTTTGTGTTCTCTCAAATCCTAATCTTCTGGGCTCTTCAACACCTCTAGTTTTGACTTTTAAACTTTTCTCATTTAATCATACTTCTTGAATAGTATCTTCTAATCCTAAACTCTCCGATTACTTCTAATACCTTTACTACCTCTTCTACTATTGGATTTGAATTGACAATTACATCTCTGTGCTGATGTGGTATGGCGACATGAACTGATGTACTTACGTACGAAGTTCTACGTTGCAACTGACTGACTGACTGAAATTGGTAAGCAAGTGATTTAAAAAACTGATAATCTCCAATCACGTATACTTTTGTCCATACTTTTTTTCATACAGAACTATGTTTCTATTAAGATGAAAAACATATAAAGTTGAGCAAAGTGTCTTCTCTTCTGAAAGCTGTTCATTTAGGGCCTTGTATCAAATCATCGGGTCTTGTGAGCAGTGATTACTCAACGACATCGCATCATTCGATTTAATTCATCAATCAACATTTTGTTCATTTATCATACAATTCATGAACGCCATTCAATACAAATCATACACTATTTCTTTCGAACAACATTTGAATCACAGTTTCAAACATAACTTCATTCATTTCAGTAGTATCAGTAGCCCTAATACAAACAGCATTGTTCTAAGTTGAAGATAAACTTGATATTTATCCAATGAGTAATATGATTTGTTAAAAGGTACACATAACTGATTAAATTAGTTAGAACTGAAGTATTAGTAGTCTCATTAAGTGTCAACCAAACAATAATTCATTAATTATAGGAGTAGATATAATAAACTTCACTGAACAAAAGGTATTTGTTCAAGTGTGGACAACCTTCTACACTAAAGATGTTTTAGATAAGTCCTATTTGAATAATAAATAAAGGACAGTGACTGCATTTTTTATAGACGGAAATTTCAGTCTTGGAATAAAATCCAAATGCAACGAGGTAGAATCATCCTCTAAATATATGAGTAGGAAACTCATTCAAGGACAATGAATTTTAGTCAATTATTACAGATATGGTTACCACGAGATGAAAGTCACCAATGGTTAGATCTTGAACAACATGGCTCAAAATCATTTGCAACGGCGCAGGTGCATCCACTCTTTGTGTTCTCTCAAATTCTAACCTCAATTCCTCATAATCTCTATCTTTCTTTTTCTAACTTTATCTCACTGAATTATACCCTAATCTTCTCCATTATTGTTAATACTTCTACTATCGCTATCACTATTGGATTTGAACTGACAGTTGAGTCTCTGTGCTAACGCGGTATGGCAACCTGAACTGATGTACATACATACGATATTTGTATATGATTATAAGCTATCGTTATTTCGTTTGCGATCAAGTGACAACAGAAGTAGGCAGATATAGTTGTGGACTCATATGTTTATGATTCAGATCATAATTCACTGAGTGACAAGTCTATTCATTCAAGAAGAGAGAGTACTGGAGATATAAGGTTGGCCCTCTGATATGGAGTGTCCGAGATCCGAACGTGTTAAACGCTGGCTGATTCTCCACTCTTCAAAATGACTATTTGAACAAATGAGCAACAGAGGAAGAGAAAGTCTATTTGGCTAAAGAATAGTATACATGAATACTCATTTATACATATATATATATATATATATATTCCTCCCTTTGAAAATGAGTCCATCTCTTGAACAATCACAAGTGTTTGCCCATGAGGACATTTCTGAGTATGACCTCGTCCGATCACTTCTCATTGACTGTTTATATTGGTCGAAATTAAGAGAACTTTGACTTTATGTGTATCGGCATTTATCAGCAGATCTTTTTATTTAGCAGCATTATCATAGTATATCAACAAATGTCAGATGAGAAGGCGATATATCATAACGTCGGACTTTTCTTAGAGCATAGACGAACTTGAAAAAAAGGTATGTAACCAAAACTCATTGTATTAGACGACTTTGGAACTCCATTGATAGGAAAACAGTTAAAACTAGTAATTCCTGTAGAAAAATCACAAATACTAATTATCGTTCCAACAACATCAAGTACGCCCGATGATTCACATAAAATAAGATTGTATTCTAGAATAAGCATAATGAAAGTAAACATACCAAGTGATAGAAATTCTTTAGTATATGGTTTAACTGTTGACGTATTCTCAGAGGATTCCAGAACCTCTTTGTAAAAAGTCACTGCATCCGGCTCAGGCAGTTCTGTAGCTGAACGAACTGCATCCTCTTTTACACGTTCTACTTCCCATACTTTATATACAAAATAACGGAAAGAATAAAACAGAATAACGTGTAATAAATAGTCCAAATGAATATATATATATATATATATATATATATATATATATAATATCTTAATTATTCACCAGACAGTAAAATCAATTTACAACCGTTTGGAAATCAAATAGTTCTGTGCAAAGCGTAAAAGGCTACTTAGGAATTTAAACAATTAAAAACAATAGGAATTCCGCATCATTCACACAGCCAAAAAAAAATCTCAAACACAATTAATTAATAATCATAAAGTTTCCAAAATGTATTCAATATAACTCATTTTTACATGAAACCATCAAATTCCTGTTAGAAAAATGAGACAAAAGACACTGAATAAATAGGATAATTAATTTATATTTACATTAACCTAATGAGCAATGAAATCTGACATTCTCAAGATAATCCAAATAAATTGATTAGGTTACAATTAGTCTGAAGCTTAGAGTAGTTTTGAATAAAGCACATATTATTTACAGTTAGTTAGCAATTTTGCCATTAAAGTTTTGTCGTTAAATACGAAAGATTCATTAGTCTGGAGTTCAGAAAAAGCATTCATCTCTATGGACAACAGGTAGCAGAGGACTTTTATTTGAAGTTTGTGCTGATGATGTTGTTCAGATAGACAAACAATGAAAGCTCCACAACCAAAACATCCAGGTCAGAGAACGAAACACCATCACAAACAAAGGAAACTACGCATATCAAAGAATGTAAAATTTTCATCACAATAAATAATATTCATACGAAGATACAACTAACCTGATGGCCTAGATGATGGTCCAACACCTTTACCATAGAGTATATGTTGAATAGTTGAATCAGAAGAATGACCGAAAGTATTGCGTTGCCGAAAAGATTCTATAGCTGTTATCGTATACAAACTATTTGCTTCAACAGATTTAGGCTCAATCGATTTCTGGCAATACAAGATAGTAGAAAAAAGTAGTACGTGTAGAGAAAGGAATAAAAGAACAGAAACTTGAAGAAAAAGACAAGAAGGCTACAAGAAATGACTTAATCGCTTTCATGATCATTTACAAATCACAAAGACATGAACTGACAGATCCATCATGCTTAACGATTAAAATGAACAACTCAAACAAAAAAACTGTATTGTACTATTTTATTCTCTTGTTGCATTAATCCAACATAGAAAGATTGAGTGTAATTGTCTAATATTCAGCCACCTAGTTAAATATAAGGCTCGCAGAGTATTCATCATATTTCCATTAACTGTTGTATTATCAGTGCAAAACTGCTCCCAATATCTTATAAATCCGCTGCGTCATATCATATACACGCTGAGTGACAAGTGATTCTATCTTTTATCTGATCAGACATATATATATATATATATATATATATATATATATATATATATATACAAGCTGTAGTTTAAAACAAAAAAATAATATTACTAAAATTATAATACAGTACCAAAATTATGAAAATCTAACTCTTCAACCAGTAGTGAACTAAATCAGGTTAAACTTGATGAATGAACTAATAAAAGATGAAATATTCGCCGCCCACTAAAACACAACATAAGATTAGCGCTTATAATGGATGGTATGATAACTATTTAAATAGGTACTCCAAAAGAATTGGAAGTTTTGTGAGCAGTCACTTCAACGGTGCGAGATAGTAATGTGAGAAATTTGAGTTCTACTTGTAATAAAGTGATTCCCAATATCAATTGCATAGATAACAAACGTGCAGAGAATAGAATATGATGTTGATAACAATTATTCATCATCATCATCATCATAATTTTGAGAAATTGAAATCATCAATAATCAATGGTACACTGAAACAACCACCGAATTAATATGTCAAGCAGAATAAAACATCACAGAATTTACCGTTAACTAAAGTACTACAAAACTATTATTCCAACTGTAACACAGGAAGAAAATATTTCTGATGGTTAATCAGTAAAACACAACATTGACTTAATATAAACACATGTAGAAATAAAATATAGAACAAAGTCAAGTAGGTGATATCCAAGTCAATAATGGATAATAAAAGCACAATATTCTTTTTACAAAAAACAACCTACTGCATCTGAACATTTGTCATGAGCTCCATAAATTATCTCTGACATTTGATCATTGGATATGCAGACATTTTTATTACGTTGACGAAATTTAATACGTAGAATTGTCAAAGGATCATCAGATTGAATGAAATTTTCATCTTCTTCATTTTTTACAGTATGATGACACTCTAATTGTGATTGATGATCATTAATTTCTTGTTGATTCATATCAGATGGAATAAAACACATTTCAGAAGATTGATCTGGAGTAATTTTAATTGAAGATTTATCATCATTGGAATTTTCATTGCATATATCCTTACCAATGGGAGCAGAACGATTTGCTTTAAATTCTAATGCTTTAGTCACTGTTGGCTCTAATGTCTCTATCAGGATGCGATCATCTTCAATATGTTTTTCAAAATTTAATCTACGTTCATCAGTTTGGTGTGTTAAATTCGTGTACAATGCTTCTAATTCAGCTCTATTAGAAAAAAATCAATGATTGAGAATGATAAATATATGATTAATCTAAATATAAATAACTAGAAACATATGTATATTATTGAAATCATGAATCAATCAATGTTAGACCACCATTAGAAACTTTGAAGCACTGGATGGCCGTTTAGTCCTGATATAGGACTCATCAGCAATGGTTAGCTGTTCGCATGCAAGACCGAAGGTCCTGGGGTTCCAATCCTTCGTGGTGCTGGAGTCGTAGATGCGCACTGCTGATGAGTCCCGTACCAGGACGAAACGGCCGTCCAGTGCTTCCAGGTTTCAAATGGCGGTCTAACATTGATCGATTCATGATTTCAATGAGTAACTTAACAATCTTCACAACCCCTTAAATATCTGGATGTGTCTATTATTACAGGAACTATTAACCCAAGCTTCAGGGAAAAAATGTTCATTAACTTAATATAGAATTTCTTGTTGAAGAAACTAACTTGTACAAGGAGCTAATGTTACATTAATTATACTTAAAAGTGTTTATAAAGTTTAAAATTTTCAGAAATCTTAAAAATAAATAAATATGAATAAAGTTATATATGCCTGTAAAAACGAACTACTGGCCATTGAAGAATTTTCAGGCGTACAAATACTTCAACTGGAAAACCCAACAAATATATTTGATGCATTCACATAAGTGATGTTTAGCTACGCTGGTAAATTTATTTTAAACACGTACTTTAGAAACACTATGTTCAAGAATATCATTCAGGATATTCGCATTAGTTTTAGTCTAGAATTTGTCTACCGAATTGAGAATGCGGCTTCAGATAGACGTCAGTATACAAAAACAAACTGTACAATTGAATAACAACGAGTGTTCTTATTTTACATCTAGATCAGATCTATATATCACCATTGTGTTTTAATATATTTCTGACGTCATTTCCATATTAACCAGAACCATATCTATCAAACTGATCAGTTTCTTCGAAATTCAGGTACCAAATAAAATTTATTGAATTTTAATCTTGGAAATCAGTGATTTGATTTACGATGGGTAACAATTGTTAGTAGTTAAGTTAAAACAGCAACCAGTATCAGCTATTCCCAACGAGTGAGTATAGTAAAAAAATGTTGGGCAAACGAGCAATTATTCCATAACTGCAGGGTATTCATATTTTCCAGGGATTACAATTGTGGGTAATTTTGATTGACTGAATGATTTGAATTTACATCTACTCAGAAACTATATCACTAAAGAATCTCTAATAAATATTGACATGGATGTTTTAATCCCGTAAAAATGATGAAACAAAAAGTCATCAAGGAATGGCATTTTTAATAACCATTTCGTAGATTTTACTCATTTACCGAGTACAGGTTTCATCGTTCGGTTTTGAGCTACACTGTTCGTGTAGAGGGATAGTGATACTACTCACCTGACCGAACTAAAATAGGTAGGAGGGGATTCAAACTTGTCATCCCTATTGGTCGAAAGCTGAGTGATATAACGGTCAATCCACACCGCTACTCTTTGTATATTTTTAACTTAATTTCATTCAATTATAAAGCATCTAATATAAAATAAACTTACTTAGCTTCAGCTATCACTTCTTCTCTATACTTATCCGACGCAGAAATTGATTCTAACATCATTTGATCAGCTTTCTTTTCAGCTTCTATTGCTTCTTGACGTTGTTTAGCTGCATTTTCAGCTGCTAATTTTAAATCAGCTAATTCAGCTTGTTGTTTAGTTAAATATGCTTCTAATTGTTCACGTCGTTTAGCTAGATAATTTTTTTTCAATGAGTACAAAAGCAATGAAAAAAATTGCAAATGTTTACATCATAATCTAACACAAATGTTGGTAGTAATAATAATTGTTTTATTCAAAACTATATATATTTAATACAGTACAGACATTTTGACACTCATACTTACACTTTTTTAAAACATTGTTGATAATTTCATAAAATGCATGAATAAGTCAGTGAGTCAGTTACAACGTGGAACTTCGTACATGAGTACATAAGTTCAGGTTACCATATGGCATCTGCACAGAGACGCAACTGTCAGTTCAAATCCAATAGTCGTAGTGATAGTATAAGTATTACCAGTATTGGAGAAGATTGGGGAGCGAAGATATGATTCGAGGTGTATAATTCAGTGAGATAAATTTAGAAAGCCAAAGATATAGATGATAAGGAATTCAGAAAGTTAAAATTTGAGAGAACAAATGAATGAATGCCCCTGCACCATTGCAAACGATTTTGAGCCATGTCGTTCAAGATCTCCAAACATTGGCGACTTTCGTCTCGCGGACACCAACCAGGTAGCCTGCATATAGCAACATGACTCAGTCCACTTGTCAGTGACTTCATGGATTTCTGCCACGTTTCAGTTTGGCCACCCCTAACTTTCTTCCAACCTACTACTACACCACAAAACATCCCTCGTCGAGGCAGTCGGTGGTTGGGCATTCGTAACACATTCCCTAACCACTTCAGATGATGGAGTTCCACTACTTCAATTGATCTGCCATCCCCACCTAGTGCACGTTTTCTAACGATAGCATTGTTTACTCGGTTGTCCCAGGATACACGAGAAATGCTTCGAAGACATCTATAATCGAAAGCCAGTAACCTAGGAATGTCTTCTACTCTGACCGGCCATGTTTTGCATCTGTATAGTAGGATAGAGCGAACTTTCTGAATCGCTAATTTGTTCCGTTTATGCGAGATTAGTGAACTGAACAAAAAACCTATCACTACGAAAACGGACGCTAATTTTAACAAACAGGCCATAGATTCGAACCACATAACAGACATATATATCTATATGTAAAGCTTACCTTCGATAGCAGCAAGTCTTGATGATTGAATCTGATTCATATATTTAAAGAAATTTTGTCGTTCAGTAATCATTTGAGCAATTTTTTGTTTTCTTGAAGAAACAAGTGAAAAATCAAATAACCGGTAGCAATTAGTACTAATTTTACTATGAAAATAATAAAGCAATCCTATCTGTTCAAGTATAAAATGACGTGAAAACAAATTAATTCAAATAAAAGAGTCTCATATAGATTCCCTCACGGAGAAGTTGACTATCTAAAGTTATTACACATTTTTGAAACCATGAATCGATCAATGTTAGACCACCATTAGAAAACTGGAAGCACTGGACGGCCGTTTCGTCCTGGTATGGGACTCATCAGCAGTGCGCATCCACGACTCCTGCATCTCGCACGATTCGAACCCGGGACCCGCACTGTTGATGAGTCCCATACCAGGACGAAACGACTGTTCAGTGCTTCCAGGTTTCTAATGGTGATCTAACAATGATTGATTGATGATCTCAAATGTGTAAAAACACTAATCTCCATAACTCTCATTGAAAATATCTAAAGTTAAGATATTAAAATCTTGATAGCGCACAGATAGGAAATATTCAGATTGCGAACCAATAAATTAGAGACATAGAATCATACAAATCATGGTAGATAACGGAGGTGTTCCAAAGAAATAGTTCCTATAATCTTTGGAGATCGCATTAAATCGAATAACTAATCGTCAAACGAAAATATTTATGATCAGTATCAAAATATGAATAGTTCAACATATGCTAAATCAGAAGTGAGTAATGAAGCTAGCGAAAGTATCCTAAGCTAATTGAGATATATATACATAGTCGGTAATGAAAATAATCCATTGAGATAACGATTAAAAATGACCTTAACTAATAATTAAGCTTTAAAAAAAAAGTTAAACAGCTTAACTGTCTTGATAAATATAGGAAAAATTATGAAAGTGTTCAATATTTTCGACTGTTAAACTAATAATACTAACCTTGTAGCTGTATGTTCATAAGCTGTATCTTGTAATAATTTTTGATATTTTTCAAATGCGTCTTTATGGTCCGACATCTCATTAACAGTCTCCAGAAAACTAAGTGTTGGGAATTTTGAGCGAGTTTGAAATAGGAAATGCTAAAAATTATGAATTTTCAATAAATGTAAGTGAAAAAAAAAACATTGAATTCAATGCCTTTGGAAATTTTGTAAACGATGAAAGTTAACGTAAAAATGACTGGTCAGTAAAAATAAAGTTATCTAACCTTAGGCGAGATTGACTTTAATAACAATACAGACTTAGCACAGCACAAGATTTCCTTTTCGAATCCCGACGGTAAAAGTTGACTCAATGAGACACGTATAAGCTTCTCGGTCCCAATATTAATGTTCAATATTTCATCATGAGTTGAAAAATGAAAACTTTTAGTCCAAAATGAACTATCTAAAAATTGTTTCATGTATGAAAAGATAAGAAAGACAATATTAGACAAGATGCTAACATTAAATTTACAAAAATCTATCTGATTAAGAAATAGTTGCGTTAAATACGGATTAATAACACAGTCAATTTTTCCTTTTATAGTTTACTAAGAAGTGTGATTTGGTGAACAATTCACAATTTGATAACTGTTAAAATGAATGAATAAAATCTGTATCGATAAACGAATGCAGTGAAAAGATGTGAACAAATGATGACTGCTCATGAGGCCAGATTAATAACGCGAATCACCCGAATGAAATGTTGACAAAGACAAGACATCTAACTAGAATAGTACGCTTTCTTCCTCACAAACAAAATGATAAACACAAGAATAAACATGATAAAAAGTAATTAGAAGTTATAGATTTTGTAGGTCACTGAAATCCTAGTGATTAGCAGGCTTAATTACTGGCCGATGTTAGGAAATAATCTAACCAACAGTGTTTAGTCATACCAAATAACTTGGAAACACAATGTATTAATATCCGTTTACTAATTTTCGTGCATAGCAAACGTTAAACGAACTATGATGAAGTTAAATATGGAGCCTTATTGAATGAATGTAAATCAGTAGTAACTAGGTCTTGAAACATGTTTCCGTTGAGATGACTGGTTCAAATACTCCTTATTTTAATAAGAGTGTAAAAGCTTCCGAAAAGTAAGACCACGGTCTAAAACACACTCGAAAAAACTAGGTAAATATACTACAGTTTTATTCATATAAACTTCTTAATTAAGCGGTATACAACAGTAAAAATCGACAGTTGAATACTGAAATTAATATTAATCACACACGATAAACAAGACAATATCATTAGTGTATGCACTCTTGGACCTACTTCACACATTGTATGATCAATTATACTAAATCAGTGTTCCTTGTGAAACTTCTTCTATTCATTTTAATATGTATAGCAAGGTGAACAGATAAATATTTGTACCAGATTCTCTGTTGTACATGAGTTTATTGAACTGTCGATTATGGTTCTGTTATGATAAGCGGCATTAAAGATCTGAACGCGATACGTTCAGGGAATCGATTACTTGACGAGAAGGCAAGAGTGGAAAAAAGTGTGCTTGGCTACCGTATAACATGAACAAATACTCGTATATATATATATATATATATATATATATATATATATATATATATATATATATATATCCCTTAGAAAACAAATCCATTTACTGACCAGTGATATGAATTTCTGATAGTCGTCAAATGACTTTTTCACTTAGCCACTCCTGATTGGCTCACTATATCATTTTCAAAATAAAATACTAGAAATGGCACATGAAGAGAAGAATGCTTCTAGAATCAATCTGTCTTGAATAGATAACTTACTTTGAGTACATAAAAAGTCATACAATCATATTACAATTAATACTTTTATTCAATGTAAACGCTCAAAGCAATTATTATATAAGGAGAATAGAAAACCGTTTACTCTGACCTTGTCTAAATAAATGTTCATTCGAGACAATCAAGTTAAATTCATTACCAACATCATCGTAAATTCCGTCTAAAGCGAACGATTCCAGAAATCTAAAAAATTAACAGTAAAGTAATAAAAGTTAGCGTAGTCAATTCGAATGAGACGATGTGGATTGTTTTTTTATTTGTTTATTACACACCAAGTTTAGGACATGAAAAACAATGATGAACAACTCTGAGCTGTGGAGAAAGAAACACCACCACAAAGGCTGAACTCGTTAAACCTGAGTAAATTCATATTCTAAGATATAAGCAGTGCCATATAATCTGAATACAAGCAATACTGAACTATCGTTTCACTCAGCTAGATGCAATATATCTGAAGTAGTTACCAAACATTTAGATGAAAGTAGTGCTGGCTTCTTAAAAGTCTTGCAATTCAGTAGCTGTATACGTTACCACAAGCAATTTAGAATTGAACCTTGTCATCATGTTGACGTGGTTTTCGTTTGTATTCCTCTAGAATAAGAAAGTGCTCCTAACAATTGAAAGAGATCTATTTTGGTTACAATTTTCTATCTAAACAGTATGTTCATTACAAACCTACTTAAGAAACAACATTGAATATTTTATAAACGAAACATCGGTAGGCAACTTTAGCAGAGTTTAACGTTGTAAGTACCTCAACTTCAAAACTACTCGACTACGATTTGACCGACTTATCTAAGACAAATACATATTACTCTAAGACTATAAATAACAAGATTAGTGAAAGAAATATGTAATGCTTACTTGATGAGCGGTTGAGCGGCTTCTTTAAATAAAAATCTTACAATCGGCTCGCATGCATGAGACATAGAACCATCTGTCTTGGACATTAAGTAAGCTAATAACTCTATGCCATGAAGTTTAGTTAGTGGATAAGTGGAAACATCTGACTGTTCATAATTAAGCATGCACAAATCGGAGACAAACCTATGAAAAACGAAATATAAAATACAATAATAGTTAGTTGCTTGTACAAATTATATATTTCCTTCACTGGTTGATAGCTAATAATTTTCATCACACTGATATCAGGTTGAGAACCAGTGAAAATAAGGCGGCAACTGATTAATACCGACTTCGGACTTTTAAACAATGAGCATAGTAGTGAAATTAAAGACCGTTTATGGCTTACTGCATCTACCACTACTTTTGGTTACGTCAGCATAAGACGCCATGTATTCTGGGAAAGTCAGGAAGTCAATATTCAAGCAATTTAAAAATGGTAAGTGAAATATATGTACTTTGTGACAAATATTTCAATCTTAAGATACCTTTCATAATGAACTGGCATCTACTGAAAGGTTCATCAGTAACCAGAAAGCAGTGGTCAATTTAGTAGGTTAAGGTTCCGACATTAATACTACGGTAATTGTTGACCAATTGTCCTCTGATGACTGCGAAACATACTATAACTGACGTGGTTTTGCAACGTAGGTAGTATTAATCAAGTGGATCACAACCATTGTGAGAGCTATGGATCGAACCATGCTGTAAAAATCAAGTAATTGAGAAAGTTTTCAAATAATTGACGCGATCGTTAGAAAATGAGCCCAAAGATCGCTAGTTCACAGTAACAATGACGACCTAGTGCACACAATTTTGTACGTAGTTATTGAATGACGGTTTATTTCTACTGATTTCGACTGCTTCCAAAGGACACTTAACATATTTACCTAGGTGGTCGGCAGCATATTTAGTGTGTGACTCAGGCGACAATATGAGTGATACAAGAGGGAACTAAAAAACTGAAAATGGTCAAAATCTAAATGAATATGAGAAAATATGTCATAAAACGATGAAACGTATTTGTAGCAATATGAAAGAATCTATGCATCTGTGATACTGTAACAAATATTGAACCGTGTACATTACCAAACATTTTCATGACCATAGCTGCCTACCATGATCACCCAACCGAGCTATATGGGCTAGAACATATGTTCCGTTAGGTCCTACCATACGAGGTAGGTTGATTAGAAAACGGTAGGATTAAAAGTAACTACTCAAGGCATGAGGGCGGAGTCGTACTGCTGACTATAGAGTAGTGAGATAGCATTAAGATGTTCCCCTTGGATAACCAGTATCAGCAGCGATGCTGCCTTCTCACAAGACGTCTACGTAATGATCGCGAGCAGTGGTGGGTAGCGGAAGCAAGAGAGATGGAAAAGGCAACGGCGATAGGTAACAGTAGACAACTGTGAGACTAACTTGGAAAAGGATGGGCTTATCATCCATTCTCAATTCACGAGATCAGATCAATGGACAAAGAAATTTAGAGATCAGTACAACTGACCTTCAGCCACACTTCGGTTGCCCACGATCTCCAGTCAACCTGAATGGCGACTTGATGTAGGTCCTACTGTAGCGACGGAGAGCAACAGGGCCTGATATGTTTACTCCTGAGATTTTTAGGGATTGTGGTCCATTTTTAGCAGTCAGATTGACTGAGATCTTAGGTAGAATCTGGGAACTAGACGTAACCCCATCTGACTGGTCTCAATCATTGATAGTCCCAGTTCATACAAGAGGATAAAAGTCCCCTTGTGACAATCACAGAGCAATCAGTTTAACTAATAGTGTCCAAAATGTTAGCCTTGACAATACTTAGACGCCTAACGAAAGCTCGTGAAGAGCAGACTTGAGAAAACCAGGCTGTTTTCAGACGTGGAAGTGGATGTAAAGACCAAATACGCACAGTTCGTCAGGTTCTAGTACATAAACACACATTCAGGAATCCGAAAATAATTGTATTGCTTAATCTTCAGACGGCGTTCGACCCCATCGATCCTGCGATTCTGTGGCCATGTCTTCTGGCCGACCTAAGCAACAATTCAAGAATAGTCTAGATGAGATTCTCCTCCTCGAAATGTAAAATGCTGCTTTAGGATTCGATTACATCATCACCTGAGCTAGTAATATGAAGTGAAGTAGCTGAACGTGTTGACCACTTCATTTACTTTGGGAGTCTTATCGTCGCTGATGGCTTAGTGTGTGACAAAATATAGGCACGGATACAGAAGGCTTGTATATCCTTGGACCATCGAGTAAGAGATGCTAGGGTTAGGAAAAAGGTACTACGTAAGGACGGAAAATCAAATGATGGAGTGAGTCTTCATGAGTTGCGGAGGTTGGGCATTTAGAACCAGCGTCTACAGTGACGAGCGACGTTTTGTGACGTAGGGGTGGGCTGAAAAAGCCAGAGGAGGCCAAACCAAAACACGGTACAAATCCGTGAAGTCACTGACAGCCGGACTGTGCCGTGTGAGTAGGTGTAGACTACCTGGTTGGGGTTGGCGAGACAAGTGAAACCGGTGACTAGAGACTGAATCACATGGTTCAAAATCCTTTGCGACAGAGTAGATGAATCCATTTTTTATCTTCCCCTTGAATTCCAAGTTTCTGAATCCCTTATCACTTTTTTTCTATTATTAAATTTATTTCACCAGGGTATACTCCTCATATCATATCTTCAATCTCTAATCTTTTCGACCACCGATAATCCTGTTATTACCTCTACCACTATGGGATTTGAATTGATGATTCCGTTTCTCTGTGCTAATGTGGTATGGAAACTTGAACTGGTGTGTGTATGTACCGAGTTCTACGTTACAGCTAACTGAATGACTTACTGACTAAACAGTTTAGCTTTCTTCCAGACTTGGACAAGAAACTCTTCAGTTCCCAGTGAGGATCAAACTGGCTGTCCATCAATTCATGGGTTTATGAAGTTTAGATAAAGGCGGTATTAATCTCAATGTTGAATTGACTGTTGATCAGTTAGCTACATATTTCAAATAAGTGGGATTTATTGAAGTAAAGAACCAGACCACTTTTACCAACGAACTGATGGATATCTTAATATATTATGATTAGTTATATAGCTTATTGAAGCCTTAAAGCATAAGAAGATAGAATAACTTACTCAATCTGTTTCGAAAGATATCGTAAGTTCTCTGTAATAAGAAGAAGTCCAGATTTACTAATATTTGATAGCTTCGATAAAATTGAGTGGACTGAGTTTTCGTACGAGTATAACCAAGTCTTCAATCCCTGAATAAAACAAGCCCATATTTGTCCAAGCCAAACGGACTTATCAGATGTCAACGTTGGAATGAGTGAAACAGAATGATAAGCAAACCAACACAGCTGTCTATATTTGGTTCCGGCTATAGTATGATAACTAACGAAATGCGATAAGGACTGGGATGAAACACCCAACATAAGAGGATCACATTTATTTGGTACCCACAAAAAATGACCAATAAGCGGATAAGAAAAGGAGTGCTTAACATTTTCACTTTGACTTTCTATTGATCTTGAGGTCCCCACAAACTGGAATCTATCGGACTGAATGCCTATTCTCATCACTAAAAGATCATGCAGAAAGCTATCATTGTATATAAATGCTGCTTTTAATGTGTCAGTCTGGAGCTTCACAGTTGATTGGGTCTCTTGTAATTCACCACTGTTTGATAAAAAGCCAAATCTAGACTTTTTGGCAGCAAGGACAGCTTCAGCAGAAACTGGACCAGTTTCACTCAAATAAGGTAGTTCTCTCTCTAAATATCCGCTAGGAATAAGGGAAAATGGAGGTAATATTAGTAACTATTGGATTTATTACCACAAAAAATAATACATTAAATTTCATGTTTATATTTAACTGAAAAGGTCAGAAATCATGCTTTATTCCACATAGATAATCTATTGGTAATACAAAAAATAATCTCGTTTACGTTCATCGTTAAACAATGGTTCAGAAGTCAAGACTTAGATAGAATATATCTTCATCTTATAAAATGACCAAATGAGGAACAAGTACCAACAAACTAAAAAGAAAGATACATAATCAAGACATCAAAGAAAGGCGATCTCAGCAAGTGTGAGAACGACAGGAAAATTACTCAACTATAAGGACCATGGAAAGTAGACGCATAAATTTGAGACAAATAGGCTGGATTTCGTAAGGATCGATCGTGTACCGACGAAATTGCAACATCACAGATCATAGTGGAACAATCTAATGAATGGAATTTACCACTTTACATCTACTTGATTGACTTAGAGAAAGCATTTGACAGAGTGGATAGGACAAATCTACGGAGGCTTCCTCGGCAATACGTCTTTCCTGAAGAGATAGTCAACATCATACGGAATTCTTATTATGTATTAAACTGCAAAATCGTGCATGGGTGTCAGCTCACAGACTCATTCGAAATCAAGACTGGTGTCAGGGAAGGTTACTTATTCTCACCCTTTCTCTTTCTCCTAGTGATCAACTGGATTATGAAGACGTTAACATCTAGGGGGAAGTACGGAATGCAGTGGACAGATAGAATGCAGCTGGACGATCTATGCTTCACAGATGATCTGGCTCTTTTATCCTTCACACAACAACAAGTTCAAGAGAATTCGATCAGAGTAACAGCAGCCACTACAGCAGCACGTCTCAATATACATAAAGGGAAAAGCAAGATTCTTCGATACAAAATAACATACACACTTTATGAAGATGCCTTGGAGGACGTAAAAACCTTTACATATCTGGGCAGCATCATTGACGAGCAAGGTGGATCTGATACAAATGTGAAGGCGCAGATCGGCATTTTTATAATTGAAGAACATCTAAAACTAGAAACAACTGTCAACAAACACCAAAGTCAGAGTTTTCAATACAACTGGCAAGAAAGTTCTACTATATGGGGTGAGAACTTGAAGAATCACGAAAACCCTCATCCGAAAGATCTAACTATTTATTAACAGTTGTCTACGCTAAATACTTTGGATCCGTTGGCCAGACACTATCAGCAACGAACTACTATGGGAGAAAACGAACCAGATTCCAATGGAAGAAGAAATCAGGAAGATGCGCCGGAAGTGGATAGGACACACATTGAGGAAAGCACCCAACTGTGTCACAAGACAAGCCTTCACTTGGAATCCTCAAGGCTAAACGAAAAGAGGAAGGTCAAGGAACAGATTACGCCGAGAAATGGAGACAGACAAGAGAAGAATTGATAACAATTCAATAAAACTAGAAAGGGAGGCCCAGGACATAGTGGGTTGGAGAATGTTGGTTGGCAGTCTATGCTCCATTTACGGTAAAAGGAGTGAATAAGTAAGTAATATGAGACGAATACAAGATAATGCTGACGTCAATAATTACCAACTCATAAGGTATGGATAATTCAACTCCGGTTGCTTCTCTCCGTAGTAGTAGTAAGTAGTAAGAACCAGAGTTGACTTATCCATACCTTCTTTACAATAAGAGGGTCAACTAATAGTCAATGCATGCAACAAGTTCACATTTATGCGTTAAGCTACGAGCCACACCTGTCACGTGACAACTAATGATAACACTGTATCATTTAAACCCCTGCACGTATGGCAAGACACAAGCGTGTGCTTCGTTAGTTGAGAGCCCCAGACACTAAAACAATCATTAATGTTTTAAAAATTATTCGCCACAAAATTTGAGATTCTATAGATCGCTTGTCATATTAAACTGTCATATATTTTCTAATTTACTAAAATCTAATATTATTTGCCAAATTTAACAAAAACAACATCATCGAAATCCTCGGCTGAAATGACAAATATTCTCTATCGTTTCATTTTCATTACCATCCGAATATTTATTTTTAAAACCTCAAAATTTATAGAAATGTGGGACAAACTGAAAGACTTACATGCCTCTTGATTCCCAAGAAAATTTCTGAATACAACTTGGAGGTACTAAAGGCAATATAGTATCCAAATTTTTGTTAGCTAGCAGGGTTTTATCACTCGGAATCCATTTGAAATGTGGTTCAAAAGATGAGTGGAATATTTCACCCACTAACAGTTCACCAATGGCAGTAGAGTATTGAGAAAAGAGACGAAGTATAGTATTCTCAATATCTTTATTGTTTAGTAGACGGTAATCTGTTCTAATAGATGACTCACAATAACCTTCATCTTCTTCGTCCAATGCCCTGGGCTAATAAAGATGTAATTAATTAGAACAACACCTACCGAATGATGAGTACAATCTATATCACTGAAAAATAAATCCAAGAATAGTACAAGTAAAAATGAAACTTTTAAATACATAAAAAGGATCAATTTCGTGAATAACAACTTGTGTGATTATCTCTACAATCGTCACTAACGTGTAAATGCCATGAGCTTGAACCGAATATTTGGAATACAGGACTATATCATATGATACAACGAATAACACCGTACCTACTGCATGAAAGTACCAATAAGTTCTCCATGAGATAGTATACCAGAGAGAGTTCGGAGGGATGAAAGTATTTAAGAAGTCAGTACGCTGATGATCGAACTTCGTCTGCTATTTACAGTAAGGTGACAAAAGAGCATGAATGTAATGTATTTCTGAATGAATTAACGCTGTTGATAATACCAAGTTACCTGGGAAAAATATACGAATATATTGATTCTAATTCAGACAAACCAACTAAGGTATATTGGGTAATACCATGGCCACTCAATTTGCCGCTTTCCATCGTAAAATAGAGAAATTTATCGAAAAGAAGGGAGACAGACAAATTCAGAGCAACAGGTTCGAAGCACGGCAAAACATTATGTTTTAGATTTAAAGGAAATCGTTTATGTCTCTTTTATTTCACTATAGTTAACCCTTAGTCATCTTGACCAAAATCTTAGAAATAACAGAGCTTTAAAATCCCAACACATCTAAAATGACTACTCAACTACATTGTAAGATCGTGAACCTGCCAAACCCTACACTTATGTGCGCTAGCATTGCTCGGTGGAATGAGCAATAGCTAAAAATGAATAACACCTCTCTTTACAACTTTAGTCACAGATTCCTGAACGTCAGTAAACTTATTTACTTACTTTTAAGGTACCGAAGTGGTCTCTATTGCAATATATTCATGTATTCATCAGTCAGCCAGCTAGTCAGCTACGACGTGGAACTTCGTACGTGCATACATCAGTTAACGTTGCCATACCATATTAGCAAATACAAATGAAATTTCCTATTCAAACCCTATAATGGTAGAGGTAGCAGAAGTATTAGCAGCAACATATCTTTGTGAAATTTCATTCAAGTGCAACTGCTAAGTTTGATATCAATAACTGAACTACTGCGCGAATTTATACACATTTGCTGTAGTTATGCAAACGAGCGCGCTATTATTTATGATGTACAGGGACCTATGGCATAAAGAACATCTTTCAATATAAATTGAGTGAGACCCGTTTAAGAATATCTCCAAACACTAGTCTTCCCGATTACTACTCCTACTTCAACTAACTCTACCACTATGGGAATTGAGTCGACAATTACATCTCTGAGTTATCTTAGCATAATAACTTGAACAAAGCTCTACGTTGTTGACTGACTGAGTGGGAACATCTGCTTCCCAAAACCCAGCCAGTGTGATAAACACAGAAATTCATCAGACCACTACCTCGTTTATACATTAACAAAAACACTATTACTAACGTAAGTTAAGTGAAACATTTAGAACAATCGACTTACCTAGAAATCGTTGAACGTCCTGAAACTTTTGGAATGTTGGGCTTCATCCAATTGTTGTTCACGTGAGTGTTACTCGAAACACTCGTAGGATCAGTACTGAAAACGCTATTTGTGTACGGAGTTGGGCCGATAGTCTTTATTAGAGCATCTGATACATCACGATAACGAATAGTTACGTTTTCGAATGGTGTGTAAGTCTGTGAGGTACGTTAGCATGAAACAAAAGTGCGAACCTACATTTGCTGCAGCTATGGAGGAATTTCGCAGTCTAATTGATGGAAAAGGACTGACACATTCAAATTTGCTAAATCTAAGAAAATTTTAAATAAATTCTGAAGTGTTACCTTGATAGTTTAGTGTACGAAACAGATGATCCCGGATTTAAATAAGCCTAAAAATATATAACAAAACGGTGAACAACCTCGCACCGATCATACGTCTCTAAATCCAGGAAAGATCTGCAAGCCTTGTTGGCGGTAAGGTACAAAAAAATTAGCTCACATGTGAAGTCTACGCAAGATTAGTGGAAAATAACATAATACCTCTATTTTCTGGAAGGGAACCGATCAAACTATTTAAACGCCCAACTTTTTTATCATCTCCAGACTTCTCCCATTCACATTGTATTACTTCGTGTAGCTTTTCACAAAGGCTTTTTTGAGGAAATATAACTTTGCCACTTGAATATCTGAACACTATATACTGAAAAGAATTAAATCACTTGTGTGGTCCTTTCTGAAAAGCGAAATTCAAGTCACATGACTGAACACGTAGAATCCTCTTCAGCCTCTTAATGCTAATTTTATGATTGTTTAACTGAGATGTTGACTTTGAAATCAAGCGATCAATGAAGTTAAAAAGAGACGGATCGCACATATCAAACACAATACGACTCAGCCTTGAGATTACAAGTCCCGCGTAACACCAAAAAGACAAATCACAACTGGTAAAAACGCTCGTAGATACCTACAGGTAGGAACCTCGGTTTACTCAGCGAGTAGATAAAAAGTATTACTAAACTATGACGAAGTTTCTCTCTTGAGTCCTTTAGAATCTGTAAGCTATTTTCTGGAGGTTCTCGAGAGCAGTAGCCTGAGCCTCTCCAGTCTATTACAAATTTCAGAATTCCACAACTTCTGGAGAGTAGAATGTCTGACCGCGTTCTATTTCTTCTTTTTGGGTTTCCAGTTTCTTCGTATTTCGCTAAGGTTTGTAGTGAGACTGAGCTAAGGTAAACATTAAAAGTGCCTTTAGAATAATGTGAACCATAGGAAGACCACCTCTGGTCATCTATACTCTACACCTACGAGTAAAAATCCAGTGACTTTCAGGCACTTTTATTAAGGTTTGGACTTTGGTCCCCGAATCGATTTCGTGACTCGCCTGTGATAGAGTTATAGTGTTTTCCTGTCCTTTTAAAGTGAGGAATGGGGTTGAATAACGTCGTAAAAGTGTAGGTTGAACGTAAAGCTATCAGACCTGCCGAAAATTTACTTCAGAATTACTAGTGAAAAATTTGCTCGGAAGGAACTTTTGTTACAGTTAGCGTGAGACTTTAGATTATCGAGTGCCAAGAGTGAGATTCATCCAAGTTGATGCGGAAATAGAAAGTTACCGCCTGATGGCACTAGGTAACAAGACAGATTGGACACAGGTTGGACTCGGAAACTCATGGAAGAAATAGCTTCCGAATGGATCCCTTGCTAGAATTATAATTAGCTAATGCACGTCTGACTCAGACAGAAAGAGAAACTGAGTTAGAATGACTACGTCAAAAGGGAAGAGAATATTGTAAGCAAGTTTTGGATAACAAGACCATGTCGTACGAGTCTACATCTGCCTCACGTAAAGCTGAAATTAATCCTGGGAAGGACTGGATAAGAATAATTTCTAAAACTTTGGATCTACCAAAGTGAGAGGTCATAAGATTTGAAAGTAATCCAATAAATTATTGAAGTGTCATACGCAATTTCGAAGACTATTTTGATGAAAGCGTCGGATTTCGATCTAAGGTAAACTATAGTGACAAAAAGGATGTTGGAGTTTTGAAGGGGAAAATTAGTGCGAATTACAACACAGCAAGAATAGCATACACGAGCGCAAATGATGGCAATGTCTTCTTACATAGTTTACCCTGTCTGGAGTGTTCAGGCAATCGTTCTTTAGATCAGTGCCAGAAGTTTAAAGACAAAAACTTTAGAGAAATGAAAGAATTCGTCTGTCAGCATAAGTTATGTAACATTTGTCTGTAGGCAAACCATGTAGCTGGAGACACTATTCCCTGTTACATGAAAAGTAGGAAGAACGGAGAGATGCTGATAGTGATGCCTACAATAATACTCATCTTTGTACGGAGGAATGCGCCAAGTGCATACAGAGGCCAGTAGCATTTGCAGTAGTAGTAGTAGTAGTAGTAGTAGTAGTAGACAGAGGAACAGATTACGCCGAGAAATGGAGACAGACAAGAGAAGAATTGATAACAATTCAATAAAACTAGAAAGGGAGGCCCAGGACATAGTGGGTTGGAGAATGTTGGTTGGCAGTCTATGCTCCATTTACGGTGAAAGGAGTGAAAAAGTAAGTGATGTGAGACGAACACAAGATAATGCTGACGTCACCAACTCATAGGATTTCCACGGAGACAATTTTATACATAATAACTAGTCTCAAAGACCGCTAGGTAATCAGGACTACCTAACTTACGTACTTGGTAAATCAGATAAGTGCTCACATTCACTTCCGAGATCCCGGTTCAGTTGTAGATGAGGCTTTCATTACCGTAGGTCTTGTGTGATGATTAAAATGTTTGAAGATACTGTCCTGCCAAATGCTTCGTAGCATCACTTTGTTAGCTTTAGCATTCTAGGAGAGTAAATACTGATGACCGTTCGTGATACAGACTGACTTGTAGCAGACGCGACTCCGTTCATTTGGAAATGTAAATAAGTATTCATAACAAATTGAAAGTAGTTTCCCTAGTTCACTTTCAACAGATTGTCCTTTAAAGTTGAACGTTCCAGCCGTTGATTACTTTAGTACTTGTCATAAGGATGCTTTAGCTCAGTTTTGCCAATAACACTGAGGCCTATGATGGCGTAATCGCAAGTCAGGGTTGAGATGCTGTAAAGACGACTTGAGTGAAATAGTCACTGCAGGATGCAGTTGCTGTACACGAGGTTAGCAGTTAGTTTTTTGTCAATGACTTCAGGATTCCGAAACTCGAAGCATCAGTTTTACCAGTGACCAAGTCAAAAATGTGGGTTTGTCATGTAGACAACACTATCGACATCATCAAAAGGAACGAGTTGGAAAACACCTACAGTCGGAACAACAATGTCTTTAATCACATAAACTTCAAAATAGAAAACTAGTTGAACAACAAATTATCATTCCTGGAAATATCGATCATCATAACTGACACAGGAAAATTGTAGACTGTAGTGCATCGGGAACCAACCCACACAAATCTAATTCGCAACTACACTACCGATAACCCAACGAGATACAAAATCAACTACATACAAAATTTATCCAGAAGAGAGGAAAAACAATGCAGCACGAAAATATGGAAAATAATATGAGATAACTGTCCTTCAAAATACAGCTATCAATGCTACTTCAAAAAATATCACCCTAAACCATCAGCAGAATTAAAATCAAGTTCAGGAACCAACAAATGGATCATCTTACCATGCATAAAAGAATTGTGGGAAATCACAGCAAGGTTACTGAATTCATTTGCAATAGGTGTCGCACATAAACTGATAAAATCACTTCAGTAGATCTCATGTGAACCGAAGGACAGTATTACCAAAGAAGAAAATCCGAACGTCGTTTATAAGATAAACTGTTCCAATTGTGAGAAGCACTACATCGGAAAAATCATGGAGATTCATAAGCTCAAAAACTATATGATAGGGGGATACAATCAAAATAAAAAGACATACAACGATACGTTATATGTCAATGACAACCAATCAAGATCGATGTAAACAGGACAAGCTACGAGAAATACGTTAAGGAATTCTAATACTTCATTTCTGTATGAAGTTTAAGTTGATGTTGTTTTTCAGGCGAGCCATGAAAACCGCACTACTGAAGCATACAGCTCAGAGGACGCAATACCATCACAATATATCACTTATTTTTATAATAACACTCAAGATCTCTTAAAGGGAGCGAATATTTCTGAAACGTTTCAACGTTGATGTTGAGATAACTGGTTTTACCAAACATACCCGAATTAGCGATTGCTCTGTTAAGCCTTCGTTAAATACCATTTGGGTATGCCTTGCTACGAATCTTGTGGAGACTTCACAAATATTCAGTGTCTAAAAACTCACGTGTACTGAAACTCAATCAAACGCGAAGTTATGGATGAAGGAGTTGTAAGATATATTCGGACGTTGCTGCTTCGAGGTGTAGTTGATCTAAGGTGATAGGTCGTTTAGATGGATGTTTAGAGGCAAATAAATTCCTAAAAACAAACTGCGCTGAAATTCTTCGAAATTGAGGCTAGCCTCAAGAGTTTCACTTGACTCAACCTAGCTTCAAGCATCTGGTCAACCATCTACATTAGATCATCATAGGGTATACAGTGTAACACATCACGTATCAATATCAAACTTAGCTCACTCACACTTTGATGTCTAAACCAAATAGACGTTTGATTTTCTTCATCACTAACTTCTTGTTTGCCTTAGCTTTAGGTAATCTGCGTTATCGCAGAGACTTACTGACCCATATGTTTTAAGGATTTACTTAACGTTGCTCGACCAGTGATTAATGGTTTTATAAAAGGTTTTTGCTGCATAGGAATGACTGAACAAAATAAATCCTCAAGATGTATTAAAAGCCTTTAGGACGTATAAAATTTGTATGGACAACTTACAGTCGAGTAAGTAAAATGTAACATAATTGTAGAGTGGCACAGTGAAGGAGTTGCAGTGAGTACAGTTGCTCTGGTCTTTAGGAGACGAAATCAAAACTCAATCAAAAGTAATTCCTGAAAATGCTCCTACTGTTTAGTGAAGCGATACTATTATCAAAAAATAAACTAAGACTGATTAAAAACATGTTCCATTACAGTGATATTGCTAAACTCATTGATGATAGTAGCTTTACAGTGTCTCAACATTTTGAATGTAGCGTTACGGTGAGGGTTTGCCTTCGACACTTATGATGTGAAATTGGTTATTACCAATATTGTTTTATTGGTTATGCTTGTGAATTTTGACACAACCACATTTATTACAGAGGCTTTATATCTGTTAATAAAGTTAATCTCTTGCAACTTTCAAACTCAGTATTGTAAAGGAAATTACATTGCTATTCGGTAATATCGTAGACGCACGTAAGAAATAAGGATTGTAATGAAGGCTTAATGAAACTATTAAAATTTTAAAGTTGTGAAAATATGTTTATTCTAACTTGTGCCTGGTTTGAGTGTGGTTGGAATGACGTGGTAGTGCTAATTATCTTACATTATCTATAAATACTAATTCAGAATGTCATTGTTTTCTCCTTTCCTTGGAAAAAATTTTCCAGATTGCTAAATAAGGTCTACCTCGTTTTTAGTGTGCTTAAAACATTAACGTAGCTATAGTCAATAACTGCTAATCACCAACTGATTAGTGTAATAAGGCTTTTACATTAATCGTTAACTTATTTTTCAAGTCCACGTATTATGTATTTTACTTAAAGTCACATTATGAGAGCTAGTGAAATTTGAAAAGGGAATCAAAATACATCCGGTTACTGCTTTATTTCATAAGTGATGACTAGTGAGTTTGGTATTAATTAGTGCTTGCGTGAGTGCCACTTCTTTTGAAATCTTGTGATACTTGACTTTGAGCGGTTTCCAGCACCTTACGTTCCGGTCGATTCTTGCTCTTAATGCTGTAAGGGGGCTGATATCTTGTTTTTTGCATCCTAAAATTACAATGAAACTACGTTGGCTGACATCTGAAGGTGATGTCATGAAATTCCATACATCTACAGTTCTTGAGATACTCTATATCCGATGGCGTAGTCTTCATAGGTTTCTGTAAACAGACTCACCTGTACTTCAGTAAGTTTGTGTGAATAGCGATTCTTGTGCGTGAAATTCAGGTGGTATTTACCATGAAATAAGAATGCTACACAATGCTCCCCGTGTGATATTTAGATTTTGTTTTCCTCCGGATCATTAATTATCTATAGCTAAATACTATGCAGAGGCATAACATTCCAAGAGGTCTATCTGACCTTGTAAGAGTGCTTGGAGAAATAGGATTCATGTTATGTTATTAAATTCCTTTAATTTCGTCTTCGTTTTTATCTGTTTCCTATCACATTTTTTTCGCTGTAGGCCGTGTAACAATTAATGTGAGCTTCAGCACTGTTCTTTTGTCTGATTCTGATTTGTTACTGCATAGGTTTTGTCACTGTACAAATGTGCTCATTTGGTTGCTTCAAACTAGTTTATTTTATATAATTTCCAGACATCTGTGTTCAACAGTTATTTTACGTAATGAGTGAATACGTCAGTAATATGGAACCGGAGAACACGAAATATTCATTATTTCAGTCACAATCATCATGTTCTGCCTTCGAAACTGCAGCGGAGGTATTTTTTTAACAAATACGCTATCTTACATCACTCGTAGGTAACAGCTATGTGTTCATTTTCAGACTTGTTATTTATTGGAACAAGCAAAGGGTATGTTAAGTACATCTGTTTTCTATCATTACTATAGGGTGGTATCTCAGTTAATCATTCAAGAGCTGTATGACGATAATACATCATTTTGTTTCAGTAGTGTTTTATCGAGGAGCCTATTTGTAAATTTCCGATTTTTTAAATATATTATAATCTGATCAGACAAAGCCGATTTTGAGGCTTGAAACCTCTTCCAAAAAATCTACACTTGCTGTTTTCAGTGATGAAAATCTTACATTATGCAACGCTGAGAAATTAGAGGTATGACAATAGACTTTTAAAGAACCCATATTACTGTTTTTAGATCATAAATTTTATTCCGTCTTTTAAAGGCGTTTCATCATTTTACTTGTGTTCTTTCGATGATGAGAAGGAGAAGGTATTTTGACTAGTTTGATTATACAGATTAATAACGTCTATAACTATTACGTTAATTTAGCTGTGCATAGGATTTAAATCGGGCTTAATTCAACTACATCATATTTTTGTATCAACGATTATGCTTGTTTTTGAGATCAAGCTATCAGAAGTACCACAGTCTCTCGTAAATTCATGTTATTCTTGTTTGATTTAGTTACTTTTATTTTAGTGCATCTCGCCACAATTTTTATGTGTTGCATCAAACAGTAGTTACGTATCAATAAATTTGCGTACAAGCAGTACTACAGAGTTACTACGTAAGAAAGAACCTGGACGAAATTATATAGCCTATTTCACTCAGGTTTGTTCGATCATTATTTTGTTCCTATACAAATTCACTACTCGCAGAATGAATTTATTGTTTCAGGTCCAGGATCATTGGGTATTATTGTCGATGCTAATGGTATCTCTCATCGTGCACCACTTCAATTATCGTCAAATATAGTGGAAGTTTTTGTGTGGAAAAATTATTTCTTCACAATTACTGATGAATTTTTTACCATTCACAAGTATGTGTAACTTTTTAAATTTATTTGTAATTCTGAATCATGCATCTCACGAGAACGTACTACAACGGTGTTTTGAATTAAATTGTATGTTTTGTAGAACTGTATTAAAGCAAGTCCAATTCGATGACCCTAAAATGAATATATATAAATAAAAATACGTTCAATTACTGAAACCGGAAAAAAATAAGCGAATAACTAGAAGCGTATGCATCATGTCCATGTATAAGCATATTTTTGGCTTAGTTTTTATTATTTAAGAGTTTTTTGTGCTAAATTTGCTATTTCATTCATCCCTTTGTTATATGGGACTACTAGGATTGTGATAGGTGACGAAATTGTATGTTAATATTTAGACTGCTAACAGATGATATAAAAGTCTCTGTTTTCCGAAATAGCAATCTTATTTTTCATTATTTCGTGTTAACCAGTACCATGCATTCTCTGTTACCACCTTAATTTTCTGAGTCATATCAGATTCCAACAGTACTATAAAAAACTAAGTAGTGATTGCCACTTCCAAAAATTATTGTATATACGATTGAGTTAGTCGAACTTATTAAATCACTGTTTTCAAATAACGAAAATGATCCATTTCATCACTGAATAAAATGAAGCCAATTCAGCAAAGAAAATTTTCTTTTCAACTATTTCATTCGCTTAAGCTGTACAATTGTATTTATAGTTAATTTACCTAAAATAATAGTCCTAGCCTGGCTTTCTAAACGATTACTTAAGTCAACCAAAAGCTCAGTTTTGGAACATAGTCAATTGTGGACATTGCTTCGCCAGAAGCTTCCTTTATAATCTTGCTTCAATCAGGAGAGTTAGCCCGAAAGGAATGCAAATGAAGAACTTATGTACATCAGAGAATATCACTCGTTCTGAAATAAGGAATGTAGCTTTTCACACTTTTTCCCTATCGAAGCAGGGATTTTCTGTGTCTTAAAAATATATCAAGTATAACCGTTTTGAAAGGATTAGTTCGATAACTTATTACTATCTCATAAATGTGTTATATAGATGCTGAAAGAACTTATTCAGTTGATATTACAAGATCAGAATGATGTATGTAAGCGCAGATAGGAAAAACACATGGTCGAATTTTACTCGTGGTTGGATGGAATATAAACTGATAAATGTACTTCGAAATAACCACATTATTTCTTCAATTCTGATGATAATAAATACTGTGAGACTAAAATTCCTTTTTGTTAAATATATGAAAGAGAATAGTTTGCAGTAGTGACTTAGTGCTTAAGGCATTCAACTTTCAGTTTTTGCGCACCTGGGTATTATCCATTGTGTGTCTCATACCCAAATATTTATTGTATGAGTTTTATTATTTTTATTATTATTAATCACCTTCTTGATAAGAAACTGTCGATAAATTTCAAAAGTATTTATCTGATGCTTGTATTATGTGACACTAAGCTTAGAGATGCTTCTGTAAAAATCATCATCCTATTAGGAGCATTCTCGTCTTGAACTTGCACTTTCAAAATTAACATATCCATTACTTTCCCTTTATTTCAGCATCTTAACACAATCCCAGATACAAACGGTAAATCTGCAAAAACCATCTGTAGCTTGTTTTTCTGCTGACACTCATTTGTTATTCTTTACTGGAACACCTGAATCGAATACTACCACTACAACCACTAGGAATATTCAAGTCTTAGGACCAGAACGTTGGGATTTGATTGCACGCAGGTTCATCTTAACTGGTTGCCTTAAACAAGCTTTTATTTTACAACAACAAGAACGAAATCGTCTTATTCAAATCATGCAGTTGCAAGTTGAGAAGTTTAAACATGAACAACATTTATTCAATCAGGTAAATTTATGATTGGACATGATTTTGTTGTAAGCTGTCAAGCATCAATACATTGTTAGATAATTGACTTGCATACAGTCTTATTGTTTGATATATGTTAAAGCTCTTAAGCTATATGTGTTATTATTAACATCGTAACTAAAGGAATTTTACTCTGCAATATCTAGACCTATTTAATTTATGATAACGCTATACGACTGTTTTTCATTGATGCCTGTTATAGCAATAAGGTTGAGAGTGGCTAATGTCGGGTCATATCGTCGATCGGCGTTTTTTTATCAGATTGCATGACATCTGTTGAAATTTAGTCTTCCATTCAGAAAGTTTGGTTATCGATTTCTTAACAATTCATTTGGTAGAATATGCCAATAACTTAATGAGATATGACCTGTCTAGATAGACGACAACAGACAGTTGCTAATATTAAATCTTCGGTGTCTTTAAACTTTTATGTGTGAATAAGTTAATAGTAAGTGGTTAGTGGTAGGGTTGGTAGAAGGTTTTCTAATGATGGACGTACCCACTAACATGAATTGAAAGGACATAAATATATGTGCTAATGCATCATCTACAATAATGAACACTGATTAATTACTTGGGTAGGACAAAAATTCGATGGCTGACAAGATGATTTACTTCTTTTTATTACACACCTGTAAAGTAGTAGTTAGGTTTTGATGCAGCTTAAGTCTTTTCTTTAAGGTTAGTTTCTTAATCCTGTAGAAAGTTGAGAAAAGAGTGTTGAAATCAATATAAATCTTGAAAAATATTCAGAAAATATTATGTAGGAGTATTTTTATCACTGTTCATTCATAACTGTGAGATGTCTTCACTATAGTTCCTAATACTTTCAAAGCTGATACTGTCTTGTGAGTATCATCATCTTCGAACTAAATGAATCTTCATAAACCAACTAACTGGGTTATTTCTTTTCCATTCTGTTCTGTCTATTGTTTGTTTTAGTTGTTTATGCCAACTTGGTTTTCATTCTTGATATTTATTTACTCAACTATTCACTAGTTTTAATGATTTTTTTCAATCACTATGTTCCTTTTTGATTTTACGCTGACAGTTAATACATCTGTTAATGCCTTTTCATAATAATTATTTGTAATTATTAAGTAAATTGTTACATCACATTGTAATTCTCAATTTATTTAAACGTATACATAACTCTACAGTTTCACTATTACTTCGTTTGCGTTTTTCAAGTGTCAATTTTAACGAGACTTTAACGAAATACCTAGCTACTTGATTGTTTTGCTTTTTTTCTCAGTAGATTTACTTCATAGTGTTACTCACTAACGAGGTACAAATTCATTTACTTGGCTTTAATCTACATTGTATGTGTGATGGTTAATGATGCTACTCACTTGAGCAGACTAAAGTAGGTCGAGTTGGGATCCAAACCTGTTGTTCTAATTTTGCTCAAAATGAAATACTTTAACCATTTTTCTCTATATAGAGTGGTGCGTTTAGTTTCATTAAAACATATTGGCACATATTAATTTTCAAAGCTGCTTCAATATAAATAAAACCACTGAACTGATTACTAGAATATATTCATTATTATGAACTGTTTTACTTCTGAAAATATTTCATTACTGCCTTCTATTTTAAGTAGTCACTGTGATACCTACAAATGTTAAACATAGATCTTTATAACACCCTCTGAAGTAATGCTTGTTATTACGATTATGTTTATCGTTTACTTTGCTTTCCTTTATATTTATAGACTCAATAGTTTTTGTATGATCTCTTCTAACTTAGTTGCTTGTATTCTATTTTTTGGACAAATGTTAATTAATCAAACATGATATGACCATTAAGTCCTGTTTTACCTTTCTAATAATTCTATATTTTTCATAAGTAGTTGTTACCTTTTATACACATACTTCTGTCATCTATATCCGTTTTAATTATATTCATGTATGTTATTATGTGTACTTTGTGCGTTGTATGTTTATCACCTGTTCTACTCATTATTCATCTAGTAGTCTACATTACTTTTTGTCTATTTAAACTATGTAACATGGATCACAAAATTGCATTGGCATGTTGCCAATCCCAAAGCCTCATCTAATCAGTTTACTTTAATAGTTTGTTTCTGGATAAGCCTCTGTGAAATAAAAGGTTGGGGTTAACATCTCATATTTTGATGTACCAGTCGGTCTACGTGTTAAGTCTTGCTATTTATATCACAATTCATCATCAATTAATCGTTAAAGGGCCATAGTTTCAATAAATCATTGGTCTTTTTTCTAATATTCTCAAGCTAACTCAAGTTACTGAAGTATTTATGGCTTTTTTCGCCGTTTATGTCCTTTTTTACTTATAAATCTTTTAGTGTTACGATGATTTATTGATTAAAGTACATTTGTCCATGTTTAAACTTTCCAGAGACGTCAACGTGTACTGGGACTTTTAGGATTTTATCATTTTGAAAAAGGTGAACTAGATGAAGCAGCTTCTTATTTTGAACAGAGCGCTATAGATATACGTGAAGTGAGTTACTTGATGTATATTTTCTTTTTTTTCGTTGTTGTTATTATTACATTTGAAATGGTTCTTATTCTGATGGTTAGCTTATTAAGCTGTATCTTGTCAACTTAATCATATGAAGACTAAGACAGTTATAATCGACAGTATTGGGTAGTCGTCACTTCATATGATAGGTCGAATGAAATTGTGGCTGTCTGTGTTTCCTTGGATTGCAACTCAGTGTTATAAAGAGTCCCAAATTCAACTGAAACATCTCTTCCATTTTTACCGGTTTTTAATGGTTCTCCAGCTAATATCAGTCTGTGGTGCACTTATCCGGAATGAATAAAGAAAAGTTTGTTTAAACTCACTACCATTTTACTGCAAATTTAATATGTAGTCCGTTTCAATAAGTTGTAATTGAGATATGTTCTTTTTGGTGTGATTGAACAGTGGTTGAGATACTCGGGTTTCAACTAATGGATGGTAGTATAGGGATCTGCTTAATCTGCTCCGGTTTCAACAGACCAATAGTATCAATAGCACCAACAAATACGGTGCATAAACTTAGTTAGACGATAATCATCAACACGTTGTTTCTTTACTGTTTCTTATCTGATCAGAGAGTTTATCCATTACTTCAACATCAAACAAACATAAATTTGTGGAACTCCCAACACACTATTTAGCACAAGAAGTTGTTTTGGGTTTAATCGGTGAAATGTGATATCTTAGTCTGCTTATTCATGTTTAAATGACGTTATCGAATTGCACTGATTTCTAGTATATTATTACTATTACTGTTATGATTACTATTCAGATATCATCTTGTTACAGTTTTTGAAGTTTGATGGATTATTTCAGATTTTCATTACGCTTCACTAATGATGTTTTACCAGTATTTACTGAACCATGTTACTAGTCAAGACTTGTAAATATGAGTCTGTGAATGCTTGTACGTAATCATGAACCTGTGTCAACTATGGCGAAGGCGAGATATCCGCTTGCTAACCAAAGGACGAGTGTACGGTGCAGTAATTCGCTCCGTCCTACTATACGGATGCGAAACATGGCCGTTAAGGGTAGAGGACTTTCTTAAGTTAACTAGTCTTCGATCATCGGTGTCTCCGAAGCATTGCTGGTGTATCCTGGAACAGCCGTATAAGCAATGCTGTCATTAGGAAACGAGTTCTAGTTAGGGATGTCAAATCAATAGATGAAGTAGTGAAGCTTCATCAGTTGAGGTGGTTGGGTCATGTGTTACGTATGGCTAACGACCGACTGCCTCGACGAGCAATGTTTTGTGGTGTAGGAGTAGATTGGAAGAAAGTTAGGGGCGGCCAAACCAAAACATGTCAGAAATCAATGAAGTCACTGAAAAGTGGACCGAGTCATGTTGGTAGATGTAGACTACCTGGTTGGTATCCGCGAGACGACAGTAACCGATGGTTAGAGACCTTGAACGACATGGCTCAGAATCGTTTGCGATGGCGCAGGTGCACTCACTCTTTGTGTTCTCCCTAATTCTAACCTTCTAAATTTCTCATAATCTCCATCTTTCTCCTTCTAAATTTATCTCACTGAATTATACTTCTCGAATCATATCTTCGCTTCTTAATCTTCTCCATTACTGTTCATACTTCTATCATCGCTATCACTCTTGGATTTGAACTGACAGTTGCGTCTCTGTGCTGATGTGGTATGGCAACCTGGACTGATGTACGTACGTGCGAAGGTCTACGTTGTATATGTCTGTACGTACGTACGTAATCATGAACCCGTGTTTTTATCTGTATATCACAATTTCTATTCATTTTTTTCTTTTTCTTTTCTGTAATCAGATACTATTTCGGTATTCTGATCTTTTGCCAAAAGGTTGTTATTTCATGCCAAATTGGTTCTACAGATTACATCAAACTAATCCAGAAGCTAGCGATGTCAATGGTAGCATTGATGCTCAAACATCTGGCATTAATCTAATTTATGATTTGTGCATTTTAAGAGCTGCAGAAGATTCAAACAATGATGATCTAACTACTAGTTCATCTTCATGGTTTATAAAATATGAAGAATTTCTATTTAATTTTTTGCGTAAACATCATAAAAGTAAATTTGTTGAAAAGTATTTACACGTAAGTATAATTGAATACGTGATTACTAACATTTTCTTGTCTATGGATCACATATTCACATCAATTATTTTAATTACAATCGGATTATGATTCAGCGAGTTCATAAATAAACATTCAACTGCAAATCGATTGGTTCGAACTGAACACAATCTACTTTGACCTTCAGCTAGTATTTCTAGTCATCGTGCAATGAGTGTAGTTTGATAATTAATTGTAGGCGAATATGGAATCGGTTACTGACTGTTGTTTATTTGATCCTTCCATCGCTCATCATCGATAATTTTTATAAAAATTAACTATTCTGAAAATTTTTAGACTTCTTATCAATTAATTGACATCCATAAATTAGTGTGAATCGCAAACAAAAATAGTTACCTTATTTTGGAAGTGTTGCGTTTTACTGAGCTAGATGACTTAAACGCAAAGCCTTAATTTGTCTTTACCAAATAGATTTTCTCTTTAATATTAGTATTATGGATGAAACGGAGATAAGAGAAAATAAAGGACTCTGCTATTCAAGTGTTGCAATCAGCTTAACGAATTGATGACATCAGTCATAGGTTTCAATCTTATTCATGTTCTGTGGCTTTGATACTACCAATATTTTTCATCGAGTAGTTGTGTAATATATGGAAGTGTTTATGATTAGTGATCTTCGAAGAGATTTATCTATTAACTGAACGCTTAACGTTTTTGACTGTTAAATTTATATTATGGGGTTGTGAAGATTGTTAAGTTTTTTTTTTGAAACCATGGGTCGATCAATGTTAGACCACCATTAGAAACCTGGAAGCACTTGACGGCCGTCCTGGTATGGGACTCCTCAGAAGTGTGCATTCACGACTCCTGCAACCTGAAGGATTGGAACCCAGGACCTTCGGTATTGTGCTCAAACGCCTAACCATCGGACCACTGAGCCGTTATCTAACGGTGTTAATGTCTAACTTGATCAATTCACGGAGCTGCGCAACCTCATTCACAGTCTTCGGTAGTTACTGTATATACCCGAAAAGGTTGAACTTCACTGGTCATGTCTTCCTACTAGAACTCGGAGAAGATTCCCCACGAAGCTAGTCACTAGTGAGCACAGGTAATTCGCATTATGGGGTTGTGAAGATTGTTAAGTTTATTTTATCATATTTTGAGTTATCTTATTCAAAACTTTACAGTAAGTTTTTTTTACAAAAATTTTTTTCAGTTTGTAGAAACTGCCTTAGTCAAATTGTATGTTCGATTGCAACAGGCTGATATTCAACCATATCTCTATGAACTAATCATCGATACAACATCTTTTAATAATTCTCCATCCATTGGTAGTGCTCTAACTAAGTCAACTAGCAATAATGATCAAGGTTTAGTTGATTTGATTTCAAGCTTGGTAAACATTGATGTAGAAGATTTAACTGTCTATTTAGAAAAAAATAATGCTTATCATGCTTTGGCGCTTATCTATCGTTGGCAAGGTAATCTTTCTGGTGCATTGGAAATATGGCGAAAGTAAGTAGCTGTAGTAGTAGTAGTAGCATTTCATTCATTTTCTTTGTTTACTGCCTACATATTTGATCTTTCTATCATGGCCAGTGAGAGTAGAAGATATTCGTAGGTTACTGGTTTTCGATCATAGGTGTCTTCGAAGCATTGCTCGTATATCGTGGGACACCCGAGTGAGCAACGCTGTTATTAGGAATCGGGTGCTAGGTAAGAATGGCAGATCAATAGACGCAGTAGTGACACTTCATCAGTTGAGGTGGTTGGGATATGTGTTGCGTATGCCCAACCACCGACTACCTCGAAGAGCTTTGTTTTGTAGTGTAGGAGTCGGTTGGAAGAAAGTTAGGGGCGGCCAAACCAAAACATGGCACAAATCCATCAAGTCATTGACGAGTGGACTTAGCCATGTCGGTAATTGTCGACTACCTGGTTAGGGTCTTCGAGATGATAATAATCAATGGTTAGAGACCTTGAATGACATGGCTCAAAATCGTTCGCAGTGGCGCCGGTGCATTTATTCTTTGTGTTCTCTCAAATCCTAATCTTCTGGATTCTTCAACCCCTCTAGTTTTGACTTTTAAACTTTTCTCATTTAATCACACTTCTTGAATAATATCTTCTCATCCTAACCTCTCCTATTACTTCTAATACCTTTACTACCTCTTCTACTATTGGATTTGAATTGACAATTACATCTCTGTGCTGTGGTATGGCGACATGAACTGATGTACTTACGTACGATGTTCTACGTTGCAACTGACTGACTGACTGATCAGATCTTCTGTGTTGATTACTGTCTTTGGAGACAAGGTTGTGATACAGTTTTGATTTAAAAAAATATCACACTCTTGTATCTGTTTATTTTTCTCTCTAATCAAGTGTTTTTTTTTCCAAAAAAAAGTCAATTTCTCATTTGTGTGTGATTAGTTAACGCATTCTTGTACACTCAGTTCAACGCATAGTTCCAACAGAAAATACTCCAGATTGAATTGACAAGTTGAAATAAAAAGAGAAGCGGTATGGTCAATTGTAATAAGTGGATAACACTCACTCTTAGATTTACTGAAGAGTGTAACAAATTTGCCTGTAGCATACTTTAACTGATTTCAAGCATTTTATCTTTCTGTTTTTCATAATCGCTCATCATTTTTTTCTCCTTCGAATATAGATACTTTATTATCAATCAATAAAATGTAATTTATTTAATATGTAGACTTTGATTCTTGATTTATGTGTAATTGACTTATAGATTAGTTTACAATGAAATCAATGATTCAAGTTTTCCAGGAGTAGAATTCTATATTTCCATATTGTTAGAGTAAGTTCATAAAGTGTTGAAAGCGTTTTTTTGTTTTCTTTTATTATGAGCATTCTATATTGATGTACGTTTTAATATCATATTTTTAAAAGATATAATCGTTTTTTATACTTTGGTATATTTTAGTTAATGATATAAGACATTAGATATGCCTCAAATCTAATATTTTCTTTACGATATGTAGTCAGTGAAACTGATAAAACAAACATGTTTCCATTAAAAAAATCAGTATATGAATGATTGTATTTTGATTAAAAGATAATACTGCATCAGTCTTTCGCGTTGTTTTTGTACTACAGGAATTTCAGTAGTTCCTGCTTGTTAAGTATAAACAATATAAATTGTTGACTCAACAGAGTTGATGTATGTATAACAGCGATGATACCCCAAGATATAGTAGAATGAGTGACACACCATACATAACAGAAGGGCTATTCAGATATAACAATGGCCACTCGTACATAACAGTTAGTTCTGCTTTGCGATAGCATTGGTTCGTTGTGTCTAAATTACTGGTTCAGTCATCATTTTTTGATTTTATCAAGTTGGATTGTTATACATTAAATGGATGTTTGCTAAAGATAAAAAAAATCAAATCGATTAAAGTACTTAGAATTTAATGAAAGTTTTTATTGATTCATGGTTTCTATTGTAGCAATACCATGGAAGATTCACAATTTTATTTTTTATACTGTTTATTTTGTATACTTCTGTATGAATGAAGGTTAATAATGATGTGTTTTTCTTTCTACCTATTTGACAATATTTTCATTTTAGCCTATCCACTTATAATTCAAACGATTATCAAAAGCAATCATCCTGTAAAGTAGTTGATATTTATTCACCGAATGATACAAATTATGAATTTCCTGTCTATGCTGAATTAGTTTGGAATCATTTTATGCAAGCTTTAACAACAAATCATGAGAGTATAGCTGAACAGTTTATATTACGTTTGCCTATTCCTCCAGCTTATCTTCATTCATCATGTGAATTATCTGTTATTGAAAGCAGTACAATCAAGGCTTCCGTGGACCATAGCCTTGCCCCATCTCAAATTTTATCACCTAATCATATTATTCAAAGTCTTGTTTCTTCTTATCCAAATTTGATTATGACTTATTTGAAACATTTATGTTCTAGTCTGCCTAACTGTGTAAGTCATGTAATATCTTGTATATATAACTTAGTTATGAAATTATTTCTTTGGAAAATGTCAAAATTCATCGACTTCATACTGAACGTCATTTTTATGGGATTTAATACTTTTGGCGCATGTCTTATGTTGATTGTTATTTTGAACGCTGAAAGCTTTCTAAAAATTTCTAAATGTAATCGTGATGATAGTTCAGAAAGTCGAACTATGTGTATATAATAATTGCAATTAGTTTGAATATCTGATATGAAACAAAAAAAAAGTAATTAGGCACAGAAAATATTGGAAATCTTAAAGAGCGTTTGTAACATAATATCTCACTTCTGCCTAAAGTTCGTGCTGATGATAAAACTGTTCAAAAGAACAATGGAATCAATCAAATCATCCAACTCAGATAACGAAAATCCGCCGTGATTTTTAATGTGTATGCTTTAGACGGAAAGCGTTTACTCTTGTTGTGGACAACATCATCAAAACTTAATTTCTTTCAGTCAACGCTTTATGCTAACCAAATTATCAGTCGGTTCACTCAGAAGCCATATTTATTCTTAAATAGTGACTACTATGTTTGGTTGATCTCTTATTGTCTAACTACTGTATGTTATTGTTATCAGTTAATATTAAATTTACATTGACAGATTTCTATATGTTATAAGATGACTGACCTAAATTAATTACATTTAATGCTGTTTAGCCTTCTTCACAGAACACGTTATTTAGACTTTGAATTTGAAGGATGTTTCTCAATGTATTTCTTATATGACCTGCTCTAAAAACCTAATTCCAGTTACTTGTTCATGATATTTTTTTTAATATTCATTCTAACTAAAATATTACTCACTTATGAATTCAATGTATGACATGTCAAAACAGTATAGTTCAAAAGAAGTGACATAAAAAAAAACTTAAATTGAATTTATAAAGATGGCCAAAATATTGAGGAAAAAAAGACAAACTTTGAATAATAAAATGTTTATAATTAACTTATAATGAGATTATGGTTCAGTTTAATAGATTGTGTAGATGAATTTCGTGTGAAGGTAACTTTATTCACAGTTTCTGAATTGTGTCGGAATACAGGGATCATTGGATTTCTTTTTCCCTTTTTTTCATTTTACGATCGCTCCTCTACCCTACTAAACATTCTATTCGAAAACTTCAAGTCTTTAAGTCAGCTCATTACTTTTGGGTTTTAAGTCATTGATTTTATGGCTGAAACTATTGAAACTAGCTAATTTCAATCTGTGACAAAAGTTATTTTCACATTCAAAATGACTGCTTTTATATTGTTCGCTGCAAATCCTCATAATAGACGTATGTTTTAAGTTTCATCGATGCTACTATAAGATCAAAACATTGGTGGTCATTATTGGTCAATTCCTATTGGTTAATTCTTACTGGTCACTATTATGGTCGTCCTAACTATCAATGTCACATACTTCAATGTTGTCTCCTATTAGACCTAACTGTATAAATACGCATTATCTGTAACGTTTTGTGACCCGGACCCGGGTCCCTAGTCCGGGATCCTTTCGTTCTTCTGGACTCCGGCCTCGTACTTTCAGGATGCTTTTAGTTCAAGCTTATCAAATGACGTGTTTACGTGCATGAGTAACAAGATATCAATCTAATGTTATAATGGTTACTATGATTACGCCAAAACATTTGTAATTCTATGATTTTATCATTCGTTTTTTTACTATGAAACAAATGTTATAGTTTTATCTTCACTTTGAATCCAAACTAACTTACATCTTCGTTGATGTACTTGGTATTTCAGCATCCAGAGAATCATAATCTGTTAGGCAAACTCTATTTAAATACTATATTAACGAAATTGAAGAACACGGACAATGTATCTAATGATGAAATGAAAAGACAAATTCGTGAATTAAGGTAATTCTTGTTTTATTTGTTTGAGTATATGTAATTTACTACTAACAAATTTTGTTCAGTATTTACTATAGCTTATTATAGTAAGGTACATACTTTAACAATTAGCACCAATTAAATGCAATAATATAAAATGATTAATATCGTGAACGGAAATCTTGTAATTGAATGTGAATTCCACTGCCACTTACCAACAAAATTTTTGTAAATTGATTGACCAGAAGGTATATATACCTAAGCGATGGAAGCCAGTGGCAGCAATATTGATCATTTTAAAGCTTTGAAATAAAAGCTCTGAAATCAAATATTATTCTAGCGCCTGCGCAGTCTTTTTACGATCGTTTCTTTGTTTTGCTAATTAATTAATTTTTACTGCCAGATCAGCATGAAGTCATCTTGTTATGGTAGGGTTATCTGTTATACTACTAGTCAGTGAATGAAAGTAGTGTAATGATACTAAAATGTTGTCCTCCTCCTCATCATCACAACATAATTTCATTTTATTTTGTTTGATTCTCATCAATTGCTTACAACTTGTAATATTTCAAAAATCATAATTCAAAGAATGGAACTGGGGTTTGCCCGCGTGGGTTCGAATCCAATCCCCGTCACCAATCGATATGCTTGAATGCTATTACGAGTTCACCTTAGTCGGTAACGAGAACGAAGACGAATGATCCAATGACACGATAGGCTATTCTAATCCGTTGTCCCCTGCCCGGCTAATTATATCAAGAAGTCTTGATATGGCGTAGAAAGTGTATTCTACAAGCACCAGAAAATATGAGGTTCACAAACACACAAATCACGTTTATTGACACATGATAGAAACGTCCTTTGGAGAGTTACAAAAATAGCGTACTAAAATCATACATTAACTAATGAAAGTTAACTAAACAGCTTATGCGCGGAAACACAAAAACTCTAACGTACCCAACACAATGTCTACTGTGGAGCTTAATTAAAAGTAGCTATTTTCACACCTCAGTGTGTAGAGTATGATAATGGTGTCAATAAATTTAGTAAACCAAGCAAAGCATTGTAAATAGTTAGCAGTTTATGAAATTAATTGTGAATGTTTAACATAATACAGAAAACATAGGGTCCACAAGATTATCAATGTTCAAATGTATTCATTGAAAAATGAACGAATTGAAATATCTGGTTTTAGGATTAATAATGATAGAATTGATAATATGTTTGATGAAAAGTAGTTCAATATTATTAACAGTTACTCAGTAAGTAATTTGAATCAATATAGTTGTAGGATTGATAATAAGATAGTTGGACTGATACACTATTTGGCAAGAAGTTCAATATTAGTTGAAACATTTGGAATACGTGATTAAAAGAATGATGGTTATTAGAACCAAGCCCCTAAATGCTTTGGTACGGACGAGAGTGGGTAGAGTCCGCTCTTCCTCTCTTAAAATGCTCTCATATGGCCATGTGTATATAGCCATTGCAAGAGAAGTCGTACTCACTTCCTTCTGATTCCAGGAGTGTTGTTTGCGTAATTGAAAGGGATGATAAGCGAGTGGTCAGAGCTTTAACCACGTTAGTGTGTATGAAGGATCTACCTAGGAGAGTTGAAAGACCCTGATTACATACCACTGGTGTACATGGGCTCCAGGATCCTGAAGTAAAGAATGGGGCGTGAACCTATCATTGGTCATCGTTTACTATTGGACTGCATCTTCGTACGTTGCTCTACTGCCTCATGGGTCAGACTTGCGTCAAAAGCTTGAGGTGTGACCCCTTAAAGAAGACCACTTGCTTCGTTTTTGATATCTGGGCAGTATTCGAGCCTGATCACAGTCCAATCAAAATTGTGTGGCGCAAAATTATTGAGGTGCCACTTTGTACCAGTGTTTATTTGTTCATGTTAAATAAAGTACTAAGTAAGAATAAAGAGTTAACTACTAAAGTTATATGAGAACATCCAAGTGAATGAGAATTTTTAAAGTATGAAAACGCAGGACTACTAACATCTTATATGACATATAAGTATGACCAAGGCTAAGACAGGTTACATGTTCTTCTTTTGAGTACAGAGTTTGAGTTTGTAGATGCGGATTGAGATAGTTGTGACAGTGTGAAGAAGACAAACCTGTATATTATGCGGTAGATTCGATGGAATACAGTAGATAACCTTGAAAGTTTTATTCAAGTCAGTTTGATGTCATGTGTCTAGTAAGTGAGCGTGATCTTAGCTTTTAATTAACATTAACTGTCTTTTGCTCAACCAGGCCTAAAGGGTGTCCTGCAGTATGTTAACAAACATTAGCCAAGATTATATGTTGTACCTAAAATACATAAAACAACTTGTCTCTTTGCTGTGTTTTGAATATGAATGCTTCCGTCTATCATACTGCAGCAAACTGCTTGGTGCATATCCTAAAATTGTTGCGCAAAGAAATTGTTTTATCCATGTACCACTTTGTGTCCAATATATTCTTCAAATTGATGGATTCATTATTTAACTACTTTCTATCTTATCAGTAGTTAGTTTAATATTTGTCTGTATTTTGTCATTTACTGAAATAGAACTGAATTTTGCCAATTGATTCGTTATTCGTCATTGATATCACATAAAACACTATTGGAACGGTTATACAGTGAGAGTGATGCAGTCCAAAAGAAGTTGGCTTATGAATTAGCAATTCTTGAAGGAAAGGTTAGTTGAAAACAGTTTTTGAAATGATATACTGAGTTTTCATTGTTAATGATCTTTTTTTTTAATGATATAGTTTTAAGGTCTTACAACGTTCATGTAACTATAATACTATCCCAGTTTGAATTTTCACGTTTAAATCGTTTAACATGTAGCAGAAATATATCTAAGTTTTTCAGTGATTAACCGTTTACTTATTAGACAATACTTCCAATCTCTTATTTCACCTTTTACACTGTTAACGGTCAGAAACTTTATTGACCTTTCACGCAAAAAAGTATTATTCACAAAATATATATAGTAAGCTACAACGTAGAACTTCGTACACGCATACATCAGTTCAAGTTGCCATACCACATTGGCACACAGAGATCGAATTGTCAATTAAGATCTCATAGTGGTAGAAGTAATAAAAGTATTAGCGGTAGATAGACTAGGATTCGAAGATATCATTCGAGAAGTGCATCTCAGAGCAGTCAGTTTGAAAAAAAGAAAAAAGAAACGGTCACGAGAAAATTTAAATGATTAGAATTTATGAGAAGACAAAAACGGATGCACCTGAGTGATTTCAAACGATTTTGAGCCATGTCATCCAAGGTCTCTAACCACCAGTTACTATCATCTCGCGGACCCCAACCAGATAGTCTACGCTTACCAACATGGCTGAGTGTATTTGTCAGTGACTGATGCCATGTTTTGGCTTGGCCGTATTTAGCTCTCCTCCAACCTACTCCTATACAAGAAAGCATCTGTCGTCCAGGTAGTTGGTGGTTGGGACATGTAATACCAACCACATCAACTGATGAAGATTCGCTACTTTGTGGTGGCCAATGTATCACTAATTTCGTGACGGTTATTGTTCAACGTGTTCTTAGTCTTGGTAATTTGCTCGTCTAAGCAATCATCACCAAATAGCGCTTGACGGTTATAAATCAGAAGGCAAACGCGAGGGTTTGAATATGTTTATTTTTGACACATCACAAAATGGACCAGCAGACCACAAACACACAGCAGGGTAAGCACACTGGCGAGCGAGTTGGTGAATTGTTGAGTGTATTATTAAGATTAAAATGTTCCTATATATACATAGGGAAATGTCGAGTCATCGAGATATTTAAGAGATTAATATTTAAGCGAATAGGATGAATATGCGTGTAGGCGTAAGCAATGTTTAGTTGTACCAGCTCATACAAACCAGACAATAGTAAAAACCAATGGTACACACAAGTTGTTGCTATACGAGTGGCTTGGTTAAATAAGTTAATCGAAAGGCTTAACCAAATTCAATATAATCGAACTCAATTGTATATGGAGGCTCTACAACTTCACCGTTGGAATTGTCATCCTTTGCTAGTACCCTTTTCCTAACTCTAGCATTGCTTACTCGGTGGTCCCAGGATATGCGAGAAATGCTCCTAAGACATCTATGATTGAACACTAGTATCCTACAAATATCCGATACTCTTACTGGCCGTGTTTCACACCCATAAAGTAAGACAGAGCGAAATGCTGAGCAGTAAACCTGTCCTTTTGTTGGGAGACGGATACCTCGCCTATGCCATAAATGACGCAGATTGGCAAGAGCTAGTCGAGGTTTCTGTATCCGAGATGAGATTTCGTCACACATCAGCAGTGATGAGAGTACCGAGATAAATGAAGTGGTCAACACTCTCAATTACTTCGCTCCCTATCACTTGTTTAAGTGGCGATGCAAGCCAATACTGAAGCAAGAATTTGCATTTCAGTGGGTAGAATCGCATCCCGAACATACTTGCATTGTTGCTGAAGGTGGTCAGAAGACTCTGCATATTGTCAGCACCTTCAACAAAGAAAACTATGTCATCGGCATATTCTAAGTCAACTGGTGAGTCTCCTGACAGAAGGAGAACTGGAAAGTTATTCGGTGAAAGTTTCATCTCTAAATGCATGTCGATAACGAAGTTGAATTAAAATGGATCTATCGAATGGCTAGTTTCTAATATATGTTTTTCATATGGCGTGCTAGGTAGTTTTTAGCGATTCAAAATGAAATTATCATCTTTCTGACACCAGGACAATTTAGAAATAATGCATAAAGTGTCAAGCCCGTTTTATTTATATGCTCGAATAAAAACTATTATTTCGTTTTAGTAAGTTGTGAAACATACATCGAAGGGTTCACTAAATTCCGTTTTTTTTCCTAAAACAATCTATTCTGATGTCAGTTTGTTATTAAATGATCTTTTTAATTGGTTTCAATATAAGCATGAATGGTGTCAATTTAGCTACCTATTTACTATTGTGAATCTGTTGAGAAATCTTTTGAAAAACATATATATAAAAGGATATTCATTATAACCTTACTAATTCACTCATAAAATTTCTGAGTACTTTACAAAGTTTTATGTCCTGTACTTGAGTAATGCCAAACCACTGTACCAATGACAACACCGAACGTTAGACTCCCACCGTTTAAAAATAAAAAGACGGAAGACGTTGGAGAACACTCATTTTATTAACAGAATCAAAAATATACAATCGAACATGCGTATTTATTGAACATTATTCAAATAGTTCATCGATCGACTACCCTTGAAATATTTAAGCATTTAATCGATAAGTTCATCAATCCACCATGTGCGTGGCTTTCTTCTCGATTGGCTATCCCAACACCTCCCTGGAATAAGATTTTTTTCCTTGAGTCCACTTGTAGTCTTACGACTGGTTTGCGGCGGCGTTCCATTCTGGTTGTAGTTTTTCGAGTGAGTCTCCGACCTTCCCTTTTCTTCGGTATTCCGGGACAAATGTGTAGTTGTCGGTTCTGTGATCAACTCCAGTGGTAGATTTACGCGATTACCACCCGAGCGTACCATTCTTTCGTCCCTTCGCAGTTGGTTCATGCGTCTAACACAGCTTCCGAAAGCTCCTGTTATTCGATACAAAACTCTTCCTAGTCTTTGTACGACGGTTCCTGGTTCCCATTAATTTTTCCCCAGATATGTTTTTAGGAACACTTTATCGCCAACGTTGAAGCTGCGATTATTTGGACTTGGCGTGTACCTACTCACTCTTTTAGGGGGCAACATCGCGTTAAAAATAGTCCAAATACTTCTTCCGAACATTGCTTCAGCTGGAGACTTCCCCTCTGGGACCGTATGGTTTCGAGTGCTTCTGTAAGCCGTTAAAAATCTCGTGATTACTTGGCTAGTTGGCCCCTCGTCTCCCCCTTTCAGTAAAGCTCTTTTGAATATGTCCACGAAGTTTTCTGCTTGTCCATTGGATTGGGGACGGTAAGATGGGGACCGTAGATGCGTTATGCCGTTTGAACTGCAGAATCGCTTGAATGAGTCCGCAACAAATTGTGATCCATTATCAGTTACCAAGGTTTCTGGCACTCCGAAACAACTAAATAAGTTAGACAGCTTCTGAATAGTTTCCGGGGCTGTACAATTCGGCATGCTGTATATTTCTGGCTATTTTGTATACGCATCTACAATAATTAGAAACATTTTACCTTGGATTGGGCCAGCGAAATCTGCATGAATTCCCTTTCAAGGTCCAGTAGGTTTCTGCCATTGTTGAGGCTCACATTTCGAAGGGTTTTTCGCGGCTTTCGTACATTCGCCCAACGCTTCTGAAAATGCGTAATGCCTTTTTATGATGACATTTCCCAGACTTGACTCTAAAGGGTTATTGATTCTAACTTGGCTGCAAATATTGTTGATAGGATGGTCTGTTAGTTTTAATGCATCTATCAGATCCAACCCCAATAAATCAAGGTCTGGATTCCTAGTTAAGTATACAGTTGCACTCGTTGTTGCCTCATTTTTTGAAACAGTGCACCATATTTCCCCAACAATATTTAGCTTGCCACTAGATGCACTGTGTGCTAGTTGCTTCGTTTGAACTGTAGGTCTTCCAATTTTCTCCCAAGTTTTTGGACTGATAAGGGTGATATCAGATGCTGTGTGAAGTTGAAGACGGATACGGTGTGAATTCATATCCAAAGTCACATACTTTCTTCTGTGGTGGATTCTTGTCTGGTTATGAGACACCAATACTTTGTTTATTGTCTTACCAGATCTGTATTTTTTAGAATAGACTTTCGCGCAGTAATGTCTGAGAGTTTTTTTTCTACATCGAGTTTCTTTGTGGCCCTTTTTGTGACATTTAGTGCAAACATATTCTTTGTATGGACAAAACTTTTTGTAGTGCCAACCTCCACATGACCAGCATGGGGATGAGGGCTGGTTGTCTGTGCTTTTGTCAGCCGGAATCTTTCTTTTCACTAACGGCATGCACGTATGATTGACGGCCATTGTTTTCGACCATGGAGGTACCATGCTTCAAATTTACTAATCTCTGACACTGCAGTTATTTCTTGAAGCGAGATGTTTGGGCACTGCTCAATTTTACTTAAGATTCTGGTTCTTATATCAGCATCTTCGGGAGATTGTAAGCTGCACACAAACACAAGGCACTTAAACTGGTCTTCCGTCATTGATGGTAGTTTGAATCGTTCGCATTCACGATTTACTAAGCCGGCGTGTTTTACCCAGTCATCTTCACTTGACTTACTTATTTTGAGGCATTGATAACGAATATTAAATGGAGATGACTGTTCAGAGAAGATTTGCGACAACGTTTCAATTGTAGCATCAAAAGAGAAATCTCTTGGGTTCTTTGGGAGAATGAAATTACTATAACGTTCGTGTTCGATTGTGCCGAGCTCCCTCAAGAGGATTCTGACTTTGGCGGCGTCATGAAGTTTGTTGAGGTCGACCTTGAACAAATCCTCATACTTCTTGAACCAAGACTCGAAAGTCACACCAGCAAGGCCATCAAAATGAAATTCATGAATAGAATTAATTATCGAGTCGGTATGTGGATTATATAAATCATCAGTAAGACCTCTGTGATTCAGATTCATTTGCTTCATTAACATCTCCAACATACGTTCCTGGAACTGTTCATATCGTTTTCCTTGACGTTCCAGTAAAGATTCTATCTGTTCAAGGGTAATTGACATTGTGGGTTTAACACTCCGTCGCCACCTTTATGTTCTGTGCTTGAGTAACGCCAAACCACTGTTCTAATAACAACACTGAACGTTAGACTCCCACCATTCAAAAATAAGAAGACGGAAGACGCTGGAGAACACTTATTAACAGAATCAAAAATATGCAATCGAACATGCGTATTTATACAATTATACATATGATCGATATTGTCGTTTAAATATTTGAATATTAAATCAAATAGTTCATCGATCGACTACCCTTGAAATATTTAAGCATTTAATCGATAAGTTCATCAATCCACAATGTGCGTGGCTTTCTTCTCGATTGGCTATCCCACCGCAAAGTACTTCACAAATTTGAATTTTGAAAGAAAACATGTGACAGCTACGCTTCCTAAAATATAGATGATCAGTGTGTTTTATGCATCCAAAGATATTTTTTATCGTATGTTAACTTCAGCTGGATAGCCGTTGAAATTCAGGGACGATCATAACATGCAACTCATCGCACTTATCGCAAACATACGCGACTTCATATAGGTGGTCGAATGAAAGAACGTTTTGTTCCGTAAAACCTATGGATTTCTGAAATTCTTTAATACAAACTCTTCCTGCCATGTTTTGGCGGTCAGACCAAAACATGTCAGAAATCCATGAAGTCATTGACTAGTGGACTGAGTCATGTCGGTGGTAGGTGTCGACTACCTGGTTAGCGCCCGCGAGGTGATGGTGATCGATGGTTAGAGACCCTGAATGACATTACTCAAAACCGTTTGCAGTGGCGAAAGTGCATTCATTCTTTGTGTTCTCCCAAATCCTAATCGTCTGAATTCCTCATCATTTTTATTGTTCTCTTCTTAAATTTATTTCACTGGATTATACTTCTCGAATTATATCTTCAAACCTTAATCTTTCCGATTAATGCTCATACTTCTGCTATCTCTACCACTATGGGGTCTAAATCGACAATTACATCTTTGTGCTAATGTGGTATGGCAACATGAACTGATGTACGTGCGTACGTATGAGGTTCTACGTTGCTGCTGATTGATTGATTGATTGAATACAAACTTTTTGAATTGAATATATATATATTTTCACAAATCATTTAGTTTAACTTGTATATGTATTCACTTTATCCACATTGAAATCTCTAATGTTTATTTTCATTTGTTTTTTTGTTGAAAAACCACTTCTCATAATTAGGCTAATAATCATGTGAAAGCTTTAAAATATCTTATTGAAGATATTAATGATTATAAAGCTGCATTATACTATTGTCTTACATTCAGTAGTCAACAATCTATTCCATGTAATAACAATAATGCTATTGTAAAGTGTAATACTACAACAACTACAACGACAAAATCTAACTCATCCATTACTCATCATCCCTGGGATCCGTGTGAATTTATGAAAGATTATTCTACTAATCAATCAATATCCTCTTCATTATTTACAACATTGATTGATATTTGTCTTGATAGGTAAGAATTTGACTTAATTTAAATTATGTCTGCTATTTTTTTTGAAATTTCAGTATTTTCGTAATAAAAATTGTTGATCTTAGTGTAGAGTAAGACTTTGTAAAATGGATTTTTTCATAAGAATTCCCTATTAAACTGTTTGCTCGTCAATTGATATGGTTGAATGCTATTACGAGTTCACCTTAGTCGGTGAGAGCGAAGACAAATGATTCAGTGACACAACAGGCTACTCTAACTCGAGCGTCCCAAGGCCTCACTAAGTAGAGGAAGAAGTCTTGATTTGTCGTAGAAAGTGTATTCTACAAGCACCCAGAAAATCGGGGTTGACAAGCACACAGCTGGAGTTTAGTTATACATGATAGAAACGTCCTTGGGAGCACCACAAAAGTACCCTATTAAAATAATACATCAACCAATAATAGGCAAGTATTTTCCTGGTGGGAAATGTAATCTGAAGGTCAACTGATCAGCCCATGCTTGAAAACGTAATATCCAAAATTAGGACCCTTATCAAATGAGTTCTGACGATCTAACTTCCCCAACATAAACTGTATACAATCTTTATTAAATCAATATAATGAAAAATAAATGTGTGCTCTCTACTGATTATAGTCGATTTGGAAGTTCGTTCAAGAAATCATGGTCTGTTTATTCGATTGTGTGACTGAATAGGATTGTACTTATTGGAAACATTATGTTCATTTGTGTGTTTGTGGATATACACTACTGATAAGTTTTTAAATTCCAACAAAACACATACTCAATTCTGTTTGAATTTTAATAATCCCCTAAAACTGTGCTCTTCAAATTCAGTGGAATTGGTTGATGTAGTATTTTAGTACGCTATTTTTGTGGCTCTCCCAAGGACGTTTCTATCATGTATAAATAAGCTCGATTTGTGTGTTTATCGATCTCGTACTCTCTGGGTGCTTGTAGAATACATTCTCTACTCCTTATCAAGACTTCTTGCTCTAGTTAGTGGGGTCTGAGACAATCGGATTAGAATAGCCTATCGTGTCACTGCATCATTGATCTGCGCTCCGTTTACCGAGTAAGGTGAGCTCGTATTAGTTTCAAGCATATCAGTTGACGAGCATTTCGATTGGCGACGGTGGTTGTGGAAACATGAATACTACGATACTTAAATTACTACTTGAGCTGCAGCTGAAACTAATGAAGATGTTGATAGATACCAATCTACAACGTGATGCGACTATGGTTCAGAGTGGTGGATCTAGTCAGTCTGACGTACGTGTAGTGCAACGTTCACCTAGTCAAAATAAATGTGCCCCAGCTACACCCAGTCCACCTCCCTCCAGCTCAATTCGACAGACGAGGACAGGATGGCTAAGAGTATTGTTTATAATAGAAGTATCAAAATCAAGGAGAACACGTATTCTAACCGACAGGAAAAATAATCAATGAGCACATATGCCAAAAAGTCACTTTCATAAAATTAATTAGATTTAAAATTATTATGATTATTATTAAATTAGAATATTTGAAATATGAACGCTAATGAAATGGCATTAAGAGTTTAACTTTTTAGTCTAATAAATCAATGAAAATACACTAACAATGATAGAAATAAGATGTTTAAAAAACAAAAAGCGAACAAGGTCATTGTTGTTTGTGCAAATGAATAGTATATATACATCATTATTTTAATGAATTTTATTTCATTATCTCAATCTCATGCATAAATAGAAAGAACAATTTTCTACTACAAAGAAAAATATCATTTTATTCGAAAATTTTGTCTTTACGCATAAAAAAATTAAATATTTTCTTACCCTTTTATTCATCGCCTGTTGAATTCTTATTACTTCACGTATATTATTGTTAGATGCCAAAAGGAAATATCAGCGGTGAACTATTGAAGATTAGATTTTATGAAAAAGATTATATGATATGTAACATGTAGGTAGGTAGGTAGGTAGGTAGTAAGCCGGTGATGAAATTTCATTGAAGCAAAATTTTAAAGTGATTTTAGAATTAGATGAATAACTCTACTGGAAATCAAAGCGAATCAAATAGCTGTTTCAATGTAGTTAGTGGAGAAGTTGTACTCTGTTAAGTTGATTTAGACAGTTATCTTTTAGTGTGTTTTTGTTAGTTTATCTGAAGTTTTCAAGTATAGCGCATATAAGTTACATAACAATTTTAAAGGTAATAAGTATTAGTAGTTTATAGTGTTGTATATGTTGTTGTATAAGACACTTGTTACCCTACTCATTTGATAAATGTAAAGAAACTCAAAAACAAGAGAATAACTTGTAAAATTAGAACAAGTTATTAAGATTATGGATTGGCTGGCTACGTCTCTACTGATGGATACACTCTTCAGACTGTAATTGATGAATTGTTAATTTTGTAGAAATGTACACATCTCAAATGCAAATTTACTTTGATTCAGGTTTTGCAACTTTTGAAGATAATGTTAAATAATGGTTAAATGATATAACACCTTTCTGTTTTGATAGTGTGTTGTGTGTTAAATATTTGCTAGAAATATGGTTGCTTATATTGATCGATTAAATAGTATTGTCAAGAATAAAAGTTTATTCTTTGAATCTCCTTCGTTAATAAATAAGAAAAACATTTTACAATATCAGTCGAATTAGAACAACACATATTGACGAACACAAATTTTTTCAAGTAGCTCTTTACTGTTTATGATTTACAGGAATGTATGAAAAACACTGAACTAATCAAGGCAATCTGCCGGTCCACTATGACAATGAAGATGGATTATATAAATGACCATAGTTAACAAAAAGTAAAAATTAAAATTAAGGTGGTGGTAGGTCTAGTAAAAAGCTACAATTTATTCATTAACCAATAAAATGAATAAGAATATGGACATGAGAAGTAAATCAAAGCTTGCAAAAACTAAACTTATTAACATAACAGTCGTCAATGTTTTAATCACTGATTAATCTTAACATGGACTGCCGTCGAAAACCAGGTGGAACTGAATAAGCTATTTCATCATAGTATGTGATTTGGCAATGTGCATCCAAGCCCCTGCTTTGGGGGTTCGAACCCAGGACCTTCTGTCGTGCGTGCAAACGCCGAACCTCTAAACTAGTACGTTCACTGTTAAAGTGTCACATACTTGGACGAAACAACTATCCAGTTCTTCTTGGTTTTCGATGGTGATCTAGCTAGGGTCAGTTCGTGATTCAAATAATCAGAAATTCTACAATCTTCACATTCTCCTTAATCATAAACAATTTCGTAGTTATCAATGTATGCACAGTTAGTTCAAGCATACAGATAATTATCACTGATCTACAAATTGCCATGCTTGGTGTCATGCTGTTTCATTTACATATATTGAATAACTATTGTATATTAAATTTGAATAAATATCCTATTGCTAACAATTTTGTTTCTTTGTTTATGTTGTGAAATTTCTTTCTAATTAGTCTATAATCAGTTAAATCTCTTCGAAAATCTTAACAAGTGAAACACAATTAATTGATTAACTATTAATGTCTCTGTCTTCTTCCTTCCTTATCGTTTTCTTTGCATAGATTATTCATGGACAAGAACAATTCTAATAATAATGATGATGCTGATATAAAGAAAATTATTTTGAATCTTTTAAATAATCCTGATTTGAAATTTAATTATTCACAGGTGATCAGTGATTTTTGATTTAATTTTATATTATGTATGTTAAAATTGTTGTAAAATAAGACGATAAATGCGTGTTGTTTTATTCAATAAACTGATATTGTTGATCATACGTGGACTCATGATCAGTCAGTCAGACAATTACAACGTAGAACTTCGTACGTACGCATATCAATTCAAGTTGCCATACCACATTAGCACAGAGCTGCAATTGTCAGTTCAAATCCTATAATTGTAGAGGTAGTGAAAGTAATAGCAGTAATCGGAGAGATTAGGGTTCAAAGATATTATTCAAGAAGTATAATTCAGTGAGATAACTTTAGAAAGAGAAAGACAGCGATAATGAGGAATTCAGAAGATTAGAGTTTGAGAGAACACAGAGTGGATGCACCTGCCCCATTTCGACGTGGACATGATAACAATTAATCTTTGGTATAAATTTTCTCAATTAGAGTTATGGAAATTAGTGTTTTTACACATTTGAAATGGTTAGGCGTTCGTGCGCAATACCGAACCTCCCGGATTCGAATCCTGCTAGGGGCAGGAGCCGTGGGTGCGCACTGCTGATGAGCCGATGCCAGGGCGAAACGGCCGTCCAGTGCTTCCAGGTATTTAATGGTGGTCTAACAATGATTGATTGATGATTTCAAATGTGTATAAATTTTCACAAACTAATTAATTTGTGACGACTGCTTTTTAGATATGCATAGATTTGTTTAATAACACTTAACTTGATCGTCTATTTAATTTTAAATTGTAAAAATGAAATAAATTTCTTTGAAATTTTCGGTATTTTCGTTTGAATCATAATTTTGCTTTGATTTGTTTATTTTTTTCATCAGTTCAATGAATTTCCTTGTTTTTTTGTTTAACTAAAATTAAGGTTGTTCCATGTGATCAACTTCTTTCTTTTATTTATTTTCGAAAATGCTACGATTATAATTTTGCATCTTAGTTGCTTTGGCAATAGTTGACTGGTAAATGTAACATCGTTCACAGGACTGTTAGACATGATCGGCTATTATAAAGCCTGATAGTGCACAATGAGGAGATGTAGTTGATCGGAACAATGTGATGTATTTGCGCTATACATCTCGAATAATCTAGTTACGTATATACTTATCAAGGCATTAATAAAAATTCAATTAGATAAAAGTTGATATAAACGTAAGGTGATAATTGTAAACGACAGAGAGCAGAAATCAACATAGCATAGAAAGAATAGAAAATTGTCACACTACGCTTAGGTCATAAAATGGCTTAAAGATTAACAGGGTATATTCAAGGTTATAACAAACTGTTCCTGTACACATAAGCGGGAATTTGAATTCACCAATAGCCAAGGCTTCTATATACCTCAGAATTCGTCTTTGAACGTTCCTATACAATGTTTTGAAGGCAGTCTTGATGTCAATCTTATGCCCCGTTTCAATTTTGTGTTATGCCATCTGTTTCCCACGTTTATCAGGTAATCTGACGCGTTACCTGATTTTGAAGCCATTTAGGTACATGTTCCATAACCCTTGATTGTAATGTCGATATACTCCTTCCAATGAATAGGTGCCAACACAAACATGTAAATTGATAAATGCAAAGAGATGTGATTTAACTGTTTGGCCAATGCCTTTTCCTGTGTGAAATAATCGACTTAGTTGTTTAAGTTATAATCAGTTTAGCAGCATAATATGTTTTCTCTCTCCTTTATTTACAATTATCACCTTTTGTTTATTTCGACTTTTATCTAATTGACATTTTAGTAATTTTCGTATAGAATGCCTTGACAAGTATATATGTGACTAGATTGTTCGAAATGTATAGCGCAAATACATCACATTTCTCAGATCAACTACGCCTCGTCATTGTACTATTGATATTTACAAAAGAGAAATAATTGTTAATACGTTCAACTTGTTGACATTTCCCAGTAATAGTTTAATATCTTGTCACATCTAGTTAGATACCGAAACTAACGAAATCAAATATTCATTGTAATCCTGTATTAAAGAAGTTTTTAGTGTATTGTTCACTGATCTTATTCAGCCTTATTGACAATTTCTCAGATAAAAGTATCGCACATTGTTTATCTATCTATTCAGCCTTTCGAACTGAAAGTGTATGGATTTTTTTTGTCAGCTCACAATGTGTCCAGTAATTCATCAGCGATTGTGAAGACAGAGCTAAGATCAAAAGAACAAACTACTTTTAAGTGTTCATTTTTAGATAATCTCAGATTATAATGAATCAACTGTTGCATGTTTTTTGGTTTTCATTCGCTTTTTCAACGTACTTACGCCTGTTACCCAATAGAGCATATACTGCCTACCAGTTTTCTCCAACCAATTTGTCCTGGGCTTTCTTTGCAGTTCTGTCCAATTTTTGTTCATTCTTCTCGTATCTTTATCTATTTCTCGGCGTAATGTGTTCTTTGACCGTCCTCTTTTCCTTTGACCTTGAGGGTTCCATGCTAGGGCTTGTCTTGTGAGGTAGTTGGGTGCTTTTCGCAATGTGTGTCCTATCCATTTCCACCGCTTCTTTCTGATTTCCTCATCCACTGGATTCTGGTTTGTTCTCTTCCAAAGTAATTTGTTGCTGATGGTGTCTGGCCAACGAATACGAAGTATTTTTCCAAGAAAACTGTTTATTAATACTTGTATCTTCTGGATGATGGCTTACGTAGTTCTCCAAGTTTCTGTCCCATACAGTAGAACTATGTTGAGATTTGTATTGAAAATCCTGATTTCGGTGTTGCTTTTTCAACTATCGTGAAATTTATTATCTCCCCTAATTTTGTTAAAAAATGTAAACATATTAAATATTCTTTTCTTTTTTTTTTATTTTCAGTTATTATCTCGTCTACCATCAACATGGAATATTCTGGAGATCAAGTTATTCTTATATCATGCACTTCGATCTACTCTACAAGAATGGTCAGAAATTCAATTCGAACATGGTTTAACTAAATACAATGCCAAATTATCAATTACCAATTTGCCGGAAAAATCCTATTGTTTATTAATTGAAGATGATACCATTTGTTCCAAATGTCATCAATCAATATGTGTGTATGGTCCATCGAATAGTTTTGCATGGCTTTTACATGAAAATCAAATTGTGCATAGTCATTGTTTATCATCGAATCAATGATTACAATTTATGTCTTTTATAAGATGATGACTTTTTTTTGCTAATAATTTATTTCTGTCTACTTTTTTTTCTGTCCATTGATTTCTCACTTTTTTTTCCTTATTGATAACTTAAATGATTTCAACGGACATATCACATTGTATAATAATATTGTATTTCGGTATTGTTTTCGCTGACTTTTATTATTTTTTTTCTTATTATTTGATGTAAATATATTTTTACCTGTCTTCTATAAGCTATTCGATTTTTTTTTCTTTAATAGAAATATATATGTATGTATGTATGTATGTTAAAAACATTGTAAAATTTTAGAGAAAGTATACACGAGTGTCATTGTCAATTCAAATTATCACATAGTAGTAGCAGAAGTAGTAGAAGTATTAGCGATAGTCAAAAAGATTAATATGATCGAAGATGTTTGAAAAAAAGGAGAGGTGAAAGGTCAAGAGGAATTCAGAAGATTAGATTCTGGGAGAAGACAAAGAATAGATGTACCTGCGCCATTGCAAACGATTTTGATCCATGCTATTCAAGGTCTCTAACCATCGAGTACTAAAATCTCGTGGACCTCAACCAGGTGGTCTACATCTACCAACATGACTCAGTTCACTTGTCAGTGACTTCGTGGATTCTTGCCATGTTTTGATATGGCCGCCGCTAGCGCTCTACCAGCCTACAGCCACATCACAAAACATGGCTCGTCGAGGTAGTCAGTGGTAGGACATACGTAACATGTCTCAACAACCGCAATTAATGAAGAATCACTACTTCAACAACTGACCTGCTATCCTTACCTAGTACCCGTTTCCTAACACTAGCATTGCTTACTCGGTGGTCACGAGGCAAACAAGCAATCCTCGTAAGACACCGACGATGGAACACTAGTAACCTACGAATATCCTTGACATCTAATGGGTTTTTCATAGTCATGAAGTAGAATAGGACGAACTTCTATGCATTAAACCTATTCTTTAGTTAGCAGAAGGATATCGCGCTTACTCCGTAAATGACGATAGTTCGCAAAAGCCATTTGCGCCTCCTGAATCCGCGCTGAGATTTCGTCACACACCCGGCCATTAGCACTGATGAGACTCCCGAGATAAATGAAGTGGTCAACGCGTTCAGGTGCCGATACTGAAGCAACATTTCCCATTTCAACGTGGAGAATCGCATCCCGAACATGCTTGCATTGTTGCTTATAATGGTCAGATGATTCTGCACTCTGTCAGCGCTTTCAGGAAAGAGAACTGTCATCGGCATATTCTAAGTCAACAAGTGAATCTACAGGTAAAAGAAGAACTTCTGAAAATTCACCTCTAAATGCATGTCGGTGACAAAGTTCAATAGGAATAGAGAAACTCGAAAACTCTATGGAGCACCACTTGAAGTGATTAATTCCAATGACAGATCTTTATAAGCTCTGATTCGACCAGTGGTGTTCGAGTGAACTGCCTGTATAAGGTTAGTTTACTTCTTTGGTTCTCTTTTTGATGACAAACACTACCATGGAACGTCACAATCAAAAGATACATGCTGTTTTAAGGTCGAGGAATACAACTGTTGTGAGACGTTGAAATGTTTGTCTATGTTGCAGGACCTAACGAAGTGTCAATATGTGGTCTATACAGGCACATCCTGGCCTGAATCCAACCAAAGCTCTACACAAGCCCTAGTTAGGCGCCGAAGTATCATTGAAGCTAATAGTTTAGATACTACATTAGTAAAACTAATGCCTCTGTGATTGTCAGAAGAGGACGTTCGCCCTTTTTGTAGACTGTGACAATCAGTGATTGGGAACACTCAGATGGAATTTTGTCCAGTTCCCGAATTCTGCGTAAGATCTTTATCAATGTAAGTGCTTAAACTGGACCACTATCCAACCTAAGTGGACCGTTTGCTCCCCCTCCCCTTAGATCTCCTATAACTTTTTAAAATCGACAAAGAGTCTGAGGACTTACATCGAATTGCCATTCGGGTTCACTGGAGATCATGGGCAAACTGAGCTTATCCATGAAGTTCTCTGTCGTCTACCCAATTTCCTGAATTGAGAATGAATAATAAGCACATCCGTTCCCTAGATAGTCTCACTCACAGTCGGATTCCTGCTTCCGGTTTTTTTGATAAGTCTGGACAGTTTTCTGCTGTTTCCTATCGCCGCTGCCCTTTCCATCTCTCTCGCCTTCGTTACTCACCACTGTTCGTAATCATTGCGTAGGCTTTTTATCAGCCTGCACCTAATCTCACTGTGATCTTCATCGTACCCAAAGCCAGACGGGATGAGTTGCCGGGCCTGTATATGAGAGTAACTTCAGCAGACGGTCGCCATTATCTGTTCGATCTGCAGCGACACCGTAAAATCCATCCAGATGTCTTCCCTTTTCACTGAGTCTACGTACTTGAGCATTAAAGTCACCTGTCATTATTACTATATCAGAGAGCCTAACGTTTTAGAGGAGGTCCGAAAGCTTTCTGTAAAACTCGTCTGGACTGCAGTCAGTGGGGTACGATGAAGAAGCAACGGCGAGTGTCTTTCCGAATCCGTACTGTCCTGTTCAGTCGGACAGCGCACAAGCGACTATCTACTTGGATGCAATCTAGAAGAGCTAGTTCTGCCCTGGGACTCAATGCAATACCTACACGAGCGAGACCCCAGGAAGCAGCATCAGGGCTTCTAGATACACGAAGAGTAAATTAAGCTGGTTTTTTTGACATGGTAAGGTCAAATAAATGACGCCCATCGAATTCTGTCTGCGCGCTTCGGACGACAGGCGATTCCAGAGTCATAGCTAATGAAGTCTTTTGCCCCATTTGCCACAAGCTTAGAACATTAAAAGCTTCAATATGTATTCTAGAGTGGGGCTTCAGGAGACCAGGAATAACGCTTCGTGAGCTCAAACCGTTTGCTTCAGAGTGGCAAGGTGACAAACGATCAAAAGAAAGGTTGATCATGGAGATTAGAGAGTTATTAGAAGGTGTGGAAATGATCTGATTGTAACCAATTTGATGTTGTGTGTTGTTATGGGTTTAAGTTGGGGTGTCGCTTCCTAGCTGCCCACACCGTTGAAGGGTCTTTGTTCAGGAGCTTGAAAAAGAAATTTGGTTAACGTTGGTCTTAGAGACCTGGGAGTGCAACCAGAGAGCCTAAGGTACAAATGTTTGAGGTCGGCCACCCACAGACGTTTTATGGGATGTTTAGGAAGTGTTAGCTCCACTCTTCAATTGCCTTACCATTGGAGACGGAAATCCGTGAGGTAAGGTGACATGTGGCATCCCAGGGTCGATCTTTTCTAACCCCTGCCTACTTTGTTTAGAAACAGAACCGCTGTAGATTCTGGTTATCCGAGGGAAACACCTTACTCCTGTCACACCTCTCTACAGCCAGCAGTATGACTTCGTTGCTTTTAGTCTCACGGTTCCGCAATCGACCTGTCTAGCATGATCGGACCTAATGGAACCTATTTTCCAGCCAATACAGCTCGGTTGGGTCATCACGATAGGCAAACCCGACCACTACATCATGGTAGCAGCTGCGGTTGGGAATTAGCGGGTTATCTAATTGCAATATTCTATTGAATACGCTGTCGCTATCTGGATCGTTATGTACTTGCGTTTGAGTTAAATTGTATGAACACTAATACATGAGGAAATTTAGTTGACGAAGAATCATTGATGCGACAAAACACTCACCATTGATCATTCTCAGGAAATTTGTAAACACAATCAATATCAAGGTGTTTATTACTCAAGATAAACATAATACTAATAGTAACTAATTAAAGTTCAACAAGAAATAAAATAATTGACTTACGAATAATTAAACTAATATGAAATTTAATTAATTAATCAATTGTTCATAATCTAAGTTTATAAATTATTTTCTATTTAATTATCAAATCTATTTGAAGTTATAAACTGTAGAAATAGTCAAGCCCTAAAGAATTGAATTTTAACATTGTTTTATTATTTTTGTGGTTATTAATATAATTCTCACAAAATAGTTTAGTATCATCATGATGTGTGTTATGTGAAATTCTTCATGAAATTTCTAAAATGTTTTGATGCATGATATTTTAACAAATTTCAAATATTTTAATATTATTGAACAAATGAATTTATAGACTAAAATAACTTGATGCTCAATCATTGCATTGAACAAGAGTCTAATACAGATTGAGAATTAATTGATTATCAATTTTATTATTTTTAATACGATACTTTTTTAATTTTGTGCTTCTATGGAAAACTTTTCTGTTTGAAGTAGTTAGATTACATCAATTATACTGCACATCATCATAAGCGATGGTCGTTTATGTGAGTTGCAGGAGTCAGAGATGCACACTACTGATGAGTTCCATATCAGGATGAAATGTCCATCCAGCGCTTCCAGGTTTCTAATGATAGTCGAACATTGATCGATTCATGATTTCAAAACGACATCTGTTGTAAATATTTAGACCAACAAGGATTATCAGTACCATAATATTTAAATAGCACTCCCTATATTTATGACTAGTTTCTTGAAGACATCTACATAGCTCTACTGTGAAATAGCTAAAATATGCATTCGAGTTTTAAGTAAATGTATGTGTTATGCTCGTCAATTGATATGCTTGAACTATTACGAGTTCATCTTAGTCGGTAAAGATAAATGAGTCAGTGATACGATAGGCTAATCTAATCCGTTTCCTTCGTCTAACTGAAGAAGAAGTCTTGATATGGCCTAGAAAGTGTATTCTACAAGCACCAAGAAAATATGAGGTTCGCAAGCACATAAATCGAGTGTCTTTATACATGATAGAAACGTCATTGAGAGAGCCACAAAAATAGTGTACGAAAATAATACATCAACCAATGTAATCTCAAGGTCAACTGATCAGCCCATGCTCGAAAGCACAAAATTCAAAATTAGTACCTTTATCTATTGAGTTCTAGGGATCTAACGTCCCTAACACAAACTGTATACAATCTTTATTGAATCAATACAATGGAAAATAAATGTGTATTTGCTACTGGTTGATACAATAAAAATATCATTATATTTTATCGTTGTGTAAATCCACAACTTCAGACTTATTTCACGATACATAGAATAATTCACATGACACAGTATTCACATATATTAAGGTAAGGCGTCATCTATAATTCATAATTATTTCCGTCAGATGATCAAGTCAATAATTTGTTTCGCAGACATCAAATTACGGAAAAGATTTCAACTGTGATTAATTACACTATTTTTTTATTAATCAAGATATTTTTTATCGGAGCACTTGGAAACTGATT